GGTCCTTCAGCGCTTCGGCTTCACGTACTCCTCGCCTCAGGCCACTCCTCTGCCTACTCGCCACTCACTCTCAGCTCTGCCTTCGGATGAGTCCGTAGAGTCGAGTGGTCCGTATGCAGAGCTTGTTGGCTGCCTCATGTACCTGATGACCTGCACACGACCTGACCTTGCATACCCTCTGAGCATTCTTGCACGCTATGTTGCTCCTGGGAGACACAGACCGGAGCACATGGCTGCAGCGAAGAGGGTATTGCGCTACCTGTGCAGTACGTCGGGCATGGGGCTAGTGCTTGGAGGGCGGAGTCCAGTGGTCCTTACCGGCCACGCGGACGCTTCTTGGGCTGACGACCAGGCTACGCAGCGGTCGTCACAGGGTTACACCTTCAGCCTTGGTTCCGGCTCTGTCTCGTGGCGGTCTACTCGCTCGTCTTCGGTTCTTGGCTCCAGTTGTGAGGCTGAGATCTACGCCGGGGCCATGGCTGCACAGGAGCTTCGCTGGCTCACCTACCTGCTGACTGACCTTGGAGAGCCGCCTCGTTCTCCTCCAGTGCTGTACGTAGACAACAAGGCTATGCTGGCCTTGTGTCGAGAGCAGCGCTTGGAGCACAGAACGAAGCACATTGCTCTCCGCTACTTCCTTGCTTGTGAGCTGCAGCAGCGTGGTCAGTTGCGACTTGCGTACGTGGCCTTTGAGGCCAACACTGCTGATGTGTTCACCAAGGCACTCGCGCCTTGTGACCATCAGCGCTTTTGCACCCAGCTGGGTCTTGTGCCTGTCTTGCCTCACTTGCTCTCCTCTTGACTTCACTTGTACTGTGACATATATATATGCCTGCTCTTGTTTGTCTAGTTTTATATATATGTCTGTACTCCTGCATGTGAACTGGCCTCTGGCCCTACTCTTGTGCTCGGACTGTGTGGTGACTTTGTGATCCACCCTGAGCTTGCTTTGCTTTGCTTGACTGGTCTTGTGACCCCTTGTTCTCCCCCACTTTGCCTATGGGGGTGTGTCAGATTTATATGACATAGTTGCTGTAGGCTATAGTGGGGTAGCACATATGGGGTACAGGGTTTCTAGGGTTGTATTTGTACCCAATCTTTCCTTAGTCATTCCATTTCCCGTTTTCCTTGTTTCACATATAACACACGCACGAATAGCCTGGTTAAATTATAATTATTCAGAGTAGTGCCCAGAACTTACATAATATTTGTGTACTTTCGTTGCACCTTGAGTGTGTTTTTTGATATCATCTTTAGCAATTCGCGAATCATTAGACCTATTGAAATGTAGGTAATCGACTAAATCTAGGTGTTAACCGAAATATATGTGACAGTAACACGACACATCAAGCTGCGAAAATAGTGTCCGGTATAAATTCCTTATGTCAGTGCAAAATATGGCTGGGAAATATAATATTCTAGGGAAATGTGTCAAGAAATATAGGTAAAAACAAGACCCCGACGTTGAGACGGTGGCATGTTGCGCACAGGCCTATCCTCGCACAGATTTAGTCCAGCAAACGCACACGCATGCGCCACGTGCTGCGTAGTTGTGCGAACGAGGTCAAACCAGTAACTGTGGCTAGGGAATAGGATGTAGTAGGAATTTGTGTGAATAAACAGTGATTAAAAAAGCATCCGGAGGTTGGCGTAGTAACATGTTGCGCACAGGCCTATCCTTGCACGGATTCAGGCTAGCAAACGCAAAAACATGTGCCACGTGTTGCGTAGTTGTGCGAACGAGGTCAAACCTGCTTCTATGGCTAGGGAATAGGATGTACTAGGGAGGTGTGTGATGAAATAGGACTAAAAAAGGCATCTAGACGTTGGCGAGCTTACATGTTGCGCACAGGCCTATCCTTGCACAGATTCCGATCTTTTCTCGCATTTTCGGAACATCACAACTCGATTCCAGTTATGGCGAATGACATCTTACCTGACTAGCATGCTCAGTATGTAGTAAATGCTTCAATCATCTACAATACCTTCGTATCATCTACGATGTCATAGTATTCAGGAGTCACCATGCAAAACGGTTTACCAACCAGGAATCCACCTCACCAACGGGCCGAACGAGATGAACGGCTCGTTTGATGCTATGTATCTCAATGACCCGGTAACGCTGCCTTACTGCAGGCCACCTAAGTCTAGTGCACCCCGTCAACTTATCCTTTCTAGGTTGGATCTGGTAGTACTTGATATATGCGTACTCCATGGTCCTCCCATCTACTTTGCAGTGAAATAGTAAAAGAACCTTAGCGTACCACTCTTCCGTCCCATTGTCGGTCTCCCCTTTCACCACCACGTCTGAGTACCATGGACTTCCATGGTGTATTGGCAGGGCACGTACACGATGGGGCAGTCGGCTGTACTGTGCGTCAACTGCTGCTGGCATGGCCAACTCCCAGTGTACCTGCAGACATTACAAAAACAATGGGCTTAGAGGTGATGTCGCCCTAGTGAACGGTATTCTATAGTATAAAAACATTGTACCTGTATGCTCTTGATGTTCGACCCCTGGTTGTTGCACGCAGGGGCAGCGTCAAGGGCCGCTCTTAGGTGTGCCAAATCTGCCCCAATCTCCTTCTCCAGCTTCTGGTCACGCTTCGGTTGTGCGGCGTTCGGGACGCAAAAAGGAGCAGCTGTCCGACCGCGAGGGACGTGTAGGAGCCAAGATCGTCGCGAGAGCACACGCACGCCTGTTTGCTGTGCCTGCAGACGTGAATAGCAATGGACATGCACGTTTGAGATTCAAGTCTTACTTGACATGCACACATGCGAATAGAGGAATTAGCTCACCTTGATCATGGCTGTATCGTACGTCTTCTTCTTGGCAAGCATGGGTGCAATGGACTGCAAACGCAAGCGCTGTACCTCACTCTGTACCACCTGCGCGTTCACACTACGCTTATTCGAGGAGCGATAGGGAGTTTTTATGTATTCGATGTGCAAGTGCTCGTAGAGTTGTGCAGAGTAGTGGTCTGGCAAGCCTGATCGCCGTATCGTATCTATGAAGTGGCTAACGAGATGCATCTTGATGAAGTTCCAGTCCGAAGTCTGCGGGAAATGTGTAGTCAAACCGTAGAGCATCCTGCGCGACAATTGGGTTGTGAACACACCCAGAGTTAGCAGGCTAATTGCGGCATGTCATACTGCGTCGAATAGATAAGCATCTCACCGTTGAGCCTTGGTCTTCAATTCGTGCAGACTGCCATCGGTGTGCTCGCATGCACGTGCGCACTCCAGGTACCACTCGATGTACGAAACCAAAGCTTTCATTTGGTCATCCGTAATGCACCCTTCCGCAATAAAGGGCAGAACCTGCATCACAGAACGATGCTCGAACGCTTGGTAATTGGCACCTTTGGCGAAGTATTCACCCGATGGCAGCCTCATGCATCCACCACGTGTGGACTTTTTAAGTTGTTTTAGACGTTGATCTAGCAACTTCATCTTCCTGGGATAGTTTTCCCTAATGTGCGCTCGAATGCTATCCACAATGTGCTCGAAAAGGCCCAGGTCGGCTTGATGCATGATATCAGGAAGCACCGCAAGATACGGGTTGAGCAAGCTCTCCGCTTCCCACCGCCATCCCCAAAGGTAACTCTGCACGTATATAGCATACGATAGTTAGACGAGGGTTATAACATAATTCAAAATGGAAGGGGAGTTTGTAACATACCTGGACCGGGTGAGTCGAAATGGCGTCATCGCCATCTGGTTGGATCGTCTTTGTCCGCACCGAGAGAACAATGGCGCGTTGCTCCGATGGCGTCCGCGCTTGAATGCGGTCGGTGAACAACGCAAGCTTGTCCTTATGAACCTTGCATAGTGAGCAAGGAAAGTTCGTCGATCCCGACTTCGTGCACGTTACTTTGCACGATTCCGGGTAATCCGTGACATGTGCATACATGGATGGCCACACGTTGATTGTTTTCCCCCCCGAGTCGACCATATCTATACCCGTATGAGAAGCACGCTTCAACCCCGCTAGCACCTCGTTCATGATATAATGGAAGATCAGCGTCCTATCTAGGGAATCATACTCTTCGGGATACTCCGGGAGCAAGGCAAGCAAGACGTGCCCATAGGGCTTCCACCTATCGTCCTTGTCAATATTTCCTAGTGTCAAATACACGGGATGCCCTTTAGCCTTCCCACGCTGATCCATATGGGTCTCATCACTTGCAAGAATGAGAGCAGCGACAACACCTTCCGGGTTGACTTCACGTATATTCTTTTGAAGCTCCTCCCACCATAGCGCGGTTTCGGGTGTTGAGTAAACTCGCATGGTGCCATCTTTAACGACGCGAGCCTCCATGCTCATCTTTGGAGCGAGATTGGGGTCCTTTAGTAGATCCTGAAGAGCGACCAGTCCATCGCAGTACCAATATTCGAGCCACGCCTTGTTCCCCGCTCGAACGGTTTTGCGTCTCCACCCGCGATGCTTATCCGGGGCCCGTGATTCGACGTACTGTTGAACATCGCGCGCAGACTTCCATCCTGTCAGCTGAGAGAGCTCAAATGCATGGTGGAAGAGAATGTGAAACAAGGCTTTGATTGCCTTTTGGGAGATATTGTTGGCTAGCAACCATTGCGCGAATGCATCCCTGCTGTTGAAGGGTGTTTCTGGCGACGTTGCAGCTAGACCGTTATCAGGCAACACGTTCCCATCACTTCCCTCCTGAATGTCGTCCGGCACGATATAATCATCTGCATCACATGGTAAGCTTGCATTCTCGGAATCACTAGAACTAACATTGCTAGAAGCACTATCATCCAAATGCACCTCTGTCAGAAAATCACCCCCGGTACATGGCACTGGAAAAGCATGTAGATGTTCGTGAAGAGGGGTTGACATGGGCACGGCTGAAGTCGAAGCAACAGCAGTGGGAATAGGATTGGGTGCTACGGTGGGTATTCGAGGGCGTTTATGCAACCCAGGGTTACTTGTGAAGTACGGCGTAGGTGTCATTGCACGCTTTGCAGGGCAGCTTGAGCTACGCATGTGACTCTCCATGCCCTTTTGGGTCAAGAAGGTGTTGACCTTGCAGGCAGGGCAGCGGTAGCTCATCTGAATGCATGGGGAAGAGAGGGAGTGAATGGGGCAGAGCGTGAGTGAATGGGGCAGAGAGGGAGTGAATGGGGCAGAGCGTGAGTGAATGGGGCAGAGAGGGAGTGAATGGGGCAGAGCGTGAGTGAATGGGGCAGAGAGGGAGTGAATGGGGCAGAGCGTGAGTGAATGGGGCAGAGAGGGAGTGAATGGGGCAGAGCGTGAGTGAATGGGGCAGAGAGGGAGTGAACGTGGCAAAGGAGGAGGGAATTTGGCAAGAGAGGGACTGACTGGGGCAGACAGGGAGTGAATGGGGCAACGAGGGAGTGAATGGGGCAGAGCGAGAGTGAATGGGGCAGAGAGGGAGTGAATGGGACAGAGCGTGAGTGAATGGGGCAGAGACGGAGTGAATGGGGCAGAGCGTGAGTGAATGGGGCAGAGCGTGAGTGAATGGGGCAGAGAGGGAGTGAATGGGGCAGAGCGTGAGTGAATGGGGCAGAGAGGGAGTGAATGGGGCAGAGCGTGAGTGAATGGGGCAGAGAGGGAGTGAATGGGGCAGAGCGTGAGTGAATGGGGCAGAGAGGGAGTGAACGTGGCAAAGGAGGAGGGAATTTGGCAAGAGAGGGACTGACTGGGGCAGACAGGGAGTGAATGGGGCAACGAGGGAGTGAATGGGGCAGAGCGAGAGTGAATGGGGCAGAGAGGGAGTGAATGGGGCAGAGCGTGAGTGAATGGGGCAGAGAGGGAGTGAACGTGGCAAAGGAGGAGGGAATTTGGCAAGAGAGGGACTGACTGGGGCAGACAGGGAGTGAATGGGGCAACGAGGGAGTGAATGGGGCAGAGCGAGAGTGAATGGGGCAGAGAGGGAGTGAATGGGACAGAGCGTGAGTGAATGGGGCAGAGAGGGAGTGAGACGGGCAGAGTGGGAGTGAATGGGACAGAGAGGGCGTGCATGGGGCAAGATAGGAAATTAGGAGAGGTGGGGGGGGGGGGTTGTTGTTTTGAGATACCTTGACGAATTACACAGGGAACAGAACAACTCTTCGCTCCACGACAAGTGTTCGGTGTGTCACCACTGCTCCAACAGGCAGCCCTCTCATACGGTGAACTGGCCAGGGAGATGAGGGAAAAGGGTGTGACAGAGCAAGTGGGGCCGTCAGAGAGCCAGAGCGGCAATGAGCGGGGATGCGAGAGTGGCAGAGAGAGGTAGCGTGAGAGTGGCAGGGAGAGAGAGAGAGAGAGAGAGAGAGAGAGAGAGAGAGAGAGAGTATGCGGCAGAGCGCGAGAGAGAATGCGGCAGGGCGAGAGAGAGAATGCGGCAGAGCGAGAGAGAGAGAATGCGGCAGAGCCAGAGAGAGAATGCGGCAGAGCGCGCGCGCGTGCGCACGAGAGAGAGAGAGAGAGAGAGAGAGAGAGAGAGAGAGAGAGAGAGAGAGAGAGAGAGAGAGAGAGAGAGAGAGAGAGAGAGAGAGAGAGAGAGAGAGAGAGAGAGAATGCGGAAGAGCAAGAGTGAGAGAGAATGCGGAAGAGCGAGAGTGAGCGAATGCGGCAGAGCGAGAGAGAGAGAATGCGGCAGAGCAAGAGTGAGAGAGAATGCGGAAGAGCGAGAGTGAGGGAATGCGGCAGAGCCAGAGAGAGAATGCGGCAGGGCGTGAGAGAGAATGCGGCAGAGCGCGCGCGCGTGCGCACGAGAGAGAGAGAGAGAGAGAGAGAGAGAGAGAGAGAGAGAGAGAGAGAGAGAGAGAGAGAGAGAGAGAGAGAGACAGAGAGAGAGAGAGAGAGAGAGAGAGAGAGAGAGAGAGAGAATGCGGAAGAGCAAGAGTGAGAGAGAATGCGGAAGAGCGAGAGTGAGCGAATGCGGCAGAGCGAGAGAGAGAGAATGCGGCAGAGCAAGAGTGAGAGAGAATGCGGAAGAGCGAGAGTGAGCGAATGCGGCAGAGCCAGAGAGAGAATGCGGCAGGGCGTGAGAGAGAATGCGGCAGAGCGCGCGCGCGTGCGCACGAGAGAGAGAGAGAGAGAGAGAGAGAGAGAGAGAGAGAGAGAGAGAGAGAGAGAGAGAGAGAGAGAGAGAGAGAGACAGAGAGAGAGAGAGAGAGAGAGAGAGAGAGAGAGAGAGAGAGAGAGAGAGAGAGAGAGAATGCGGAAGAGCAAGAGTGAGAGAGAATGCGGAAGAGCGAGAGTGAGCGAATGCGGCAGAGCGAGAGAGAGAGAATGCGGCAGAGCAAGAGTGAGAGAGAATGCGGAAGAGCGAGAGTGAGCGAATGCCGCAGAGCCAGAGAGAGAATGCGGCAGGGCGTGAGAGAGAATGCGGCAGAGCGCGCGCGCGTGCGCACGAGAGAGAGAGAGAGAGAGAGAGAGAGAGAGAGAGAGAGAGAGAGAGAGAGAGAGAGAGAGAGAGAGAGAGAGAGAGAGAGAGAGAGAATGCGGAAGAGCAAGAGTGAGAGAGAATGCGGAAGAGCGAGAGTGAGCGAATGCGGCAGAGCGAGAGAGAGAGAATGCGGCAGAGCGTGAGAGAGAATGCGGCAGAGCGCGCGCGCGTGCGCACGAGAGAGAGAGAGAGAGAGAGAGAGAGAGAGAGAGAGAGAGAGAGAGAGAGAGAGAGAGAGAGAGAGAGAGAGAGAGAGAGAGAATGCGGAAGAGCAAGAGTGAGAGAGAATGCGGAAGAGCGAGAGTGAGCGAATGCGGCAGAGCGAGAGAGAGAGAATGCGGCAGAGCGTGAGAGAGAATGCGGCAGAGCGCGCGCGCGTGCGCACGAGAGAGAGAGAGAGAGAGAGAGAGAGAGAGAGAGAGAGAGAGAGAGAGAGAGAGAGAGAGAGAGAGAGAGAGAGAGAGAGAGAGAGAGAGAGAGAGAGAGAGAGAGAGAGAGAGAGAGAGAGAGAGAATGCGGCAGAGCAAGAGTGAGAGAGAATGCGGAAGAGCGAGAGTGAGCGAATGCGGCAGAGCCAGAGAGAGAATGCGGCAGGGTGTGAGAGAGAATGCGGCAGAGCAAGAGTGAGAGAGAATGCGGAAGAGCGAGAGTGAGCGAATGCGGCATAGCGAGAGAGAGAATGCGGCAGGGCGTGAGAGAGAATGCGGCAGAGCGCGCGCGCGTGCGCACGAGAGAGAGAGAGAGAGAGAGAGAGAGAGAGAGAGAGAGAGAGAGAGAGAGAGAGAGAGAGAGAGAGAGAGAGAGAGAGAATGCGGCAGAGCAAGAGTGAGAGAGAATGCGGAAGAGCGAGAGTGAGCGAATGCGGCAGAGCGAGAGAGAGAGAATGCGGCAGGGCGAGAGAGAGAATGCGGCAGGGCGAGAGAGAGAATGCGGCAAAGCGAGAGAGAGAGAATGCGGAAGAGCGAGAGTGAGCGAATGCGGCAGGGCGAGAGAGAGAGAGAATGCGGTAAAGAACATACGCTTCCTTATGCTATGTTCGTTCACGCCACGTCAATGTATAACGCAGATTTCCTGATGCAGTTGCCGGCATCTACAACTCAGGATTGACACGGCGTGAGCACTATGTGGGGCGGTAGGCTCGTGAAAGGGAGGGAGGTAAAATTGCCGTCAGAGAGCTCACCTTTTCGCGTCGTGGACACGTATGTGCCCTCTCTCTGGTCCTTTCGCTACCGCGTCACGTCGCTTGTTGCGCCGTTGCTTCAGCTGCTGCAGATTCGTCGCAGCTTAGCGCGACGCGGCTGCTAAGGCGACAAACGGTCGTTGCGTTATCTCTACAATGGAAGCCAGATTCACGTTTCTGAACACAGAGTTCCCTAGATGTCGAGTGAATTATGGAGTGAATCTCAGGGATGGGTGGAGTGTGGAGGGAGGAGTGATGGAGTCGCGCACGAACAGGGCTCTCTTTGACAGCGCGGTATAATGAGGATCAAAGCGGTGACTTGAGGTACAATGTTTTTATTATACGGTGTACAGCGTTCCTGCACGATTCATACGAGATGCACCAATAATTGTGGACCTGAAATGCGTTCTGTTGGCGATTTGATGAACCGTGAGATGCGGGGCATTTTGGCAGAGAATTATATGTTTAGAAACAAACAACAAAAATTGCTTTTCAATAACTAGCTTCGATACAAGACAGTGAACATGTATATGTTAAAACAACCAAACCACATATAAAACCAGTAACTACATCTACAATATCACCATAACAGTACTCAAAATACAGTACACATTCACAACAATAGTTTTTACACGATGGAGAAATGTAATCAAAACATTAGTATAATTGTACAAGTCATTATATAATAATAACATGTTGGAAACTGTGTACAAAAATTATTAATGTTAAGAACACATTATTAAACTCTTGTGGTAACAAAAAAAAAGTTAGCAAAAACGAACATCCAAACAAAAACAAAGCACATAGTAAAACTGTTCCATAAATGGCATGACTGCAAATTGGTTACATAAAGAGTTACCGATACAAGGATGACGTGGCAACAATCAACCAACATTTTCTCGCAAAGGAGAAATTGCGTGCGTTGTGTTGGTTGTCAACAAGCCCCACACATCTCCCGATCTATCGCCATATTTGTCTGAGACAGCGGACCAATGAAAACGCTCGTAAGCACCCAAGCAGAAACGCCACGTAAACCATGGTTTGTGGTCCTAGAAATCCAAACCACCTGACGGGGGAAGGGCGGGCCAAAGGCGGAAGCAGCACTCGGATCCTCTGCTTCGACCGGGATTCATTTTTTTTGGCGAAACTCCATTTTGCCCGTGGCGAGACGATTTTACTCGGATTTGACTCGGATTCGGCGCAAAAGGGTGTTGGATCTTACAAAATCCAAACCACCTGATGGCGCAACGAAATGGGCGCAAGAGTGGTTACACTACCGGTTTGGATTATCGACGGTCGCACGAAAGCGACGTCGCAACCACTGTTGTACAGTATTTGTATATAAACTTTGTTGTTGACACTTTGGTGTAATTCTGACAAGCAGAATGTCAAAATGGCTAAGTCAAAATTCTATATGGTTTGGCTCATAACTCCATCATTTGTTGGTCATTTGCACACAAATATGGATTTCCAGCATCTCCTTGATGTCCTCTACAAGCGGGCATGAGTTTGTTATTTTGTCAAATTTGTTCCATTTTGTCACTTTTCTCTCAACTAAGATTGCTCATAGCACATGTAAAGTCATTCTCTGTGCATCACACACATGTGTTATGTGGTGACCATTTTTTTTGCATTGTTAGTGTTATGACACCTGTTCCAGCCCCCCTGAACATTTTCAGCTATATGCAAACTGATTTGGTGGACTTTTTCTTGCAATGAAGTTAGTGTACAGAAATGCCTGGACTTAGGTTTCAATTGAAATCACCCACTTCTCCTTGAGCAAATGAGCTGATTTTTATAGGAGACTCTCACCACACATATTCCAGACCCCCACATGAAATTCACCTCATTTGCCCAAGGTTTGATATGTGTTTTAAGCCTTGCTGTGCAGCAGTCTGCAGAATTCTGTGCAGAATTGCCTGGACTTAGGTTTCAATTGAAATCACCCACTTCTCCTTGAGCAGATGAGCTGATTTTTATAGGGGACTCTCACCACACATATTCCAGACCCCCACATGAGATTCACTTCATTTGCCCAAGGTTTGATATGTGTTTTAAGCCTTGCTGTGCAGCAGTCTGCAGAATTCTGTGCAGGGTTGCCTGGAATCAGGTTTCAATTGTAATCACCCACTTCTCCTTGAGCAAATAAGCTGATTTTTATAGGGGAATCTCACCACACATATTCCAGACCCCCACATGAAATTCACCTCATTTGCCCAAGGTTTGATATGTGTTTTAAGCCTTGCTGTGCAGCAGTCTGCAGAATTCTGTGCAGAATTGCCTGGAATCAGGTTTCAATAGTAATCACCCACTTCTCCTTGAGCAAATGAGCTGATTTTTATAGGGGACTCTCACCACACATATTTCAGACCCCCACATGAAATTCATCTCATTTGCCCAAGGTTTGATATGTGTTTTAAGCCTTGCTGTGCAGCAGTCTGCAGAATTCTGTGCAGAATTGCCTGGAATAAGGTTTCAATAGTAATCACCCACTTCGCCTTAAGCAAATGAGCTGATTTTTATAGGGGACTCTCACCACACATATTCCAGACCCCCACATGAAATTCACCTCATTTGCCCAAGGTTTGATATGTGTTTTAAGCCTTGCTGTGCAGCAGTCTGCAGAATTCTGTGCAGAATTGCCTGGAATAAGGTTTCAATAGTAATCACCCACTTCTCTTTGAGCAAATGAGCTGATTTTTATAGGGGACTCTCACCACACATATTCCAGACCCCCACATGAAATTCACCTCATTTGCCTAAGGTTTGATATGCGTTTTAAGCCTTGCTGTGCAGCAGTCTGCAGAATTCTGTGCAGAATTGCCTGGAATAAGGTTTCAATAGTAATCACCCACTTCGCCTTGAGCAAATGAGCTGATTTTTATAGGGGACTCTCACCACACATATTCCAGACCCCCACATGAAATTCACCTCATTTGCCCAAGGTTTGATATGTGTTTTAAGCCTTGCTGTGCAGAAGTCTGCAGAATTCTGTGCAGAATTGCCTGGAATAAGGTTTCAATAGTAATCACCCACTTCTCTTTGAGCAAATGAGCTGATTTTTATAGGGGACTCTCACCACACATATTCCAGACCCCCACCTGAAATTCATCTTTTTTCGTAGACGTGTAGTATGTTTTTCACTCTCTCCTCTGCAGGCGGGAGCAGAGCACTTTGGTGAAATGTACAACATTTGTTTTGTACTCCAATGCCACTGTTATACGGGTGCTAATGATAGGGCACTCATCTCACACTTATAGGATTACCCGTTATAGTATTGGGTGTGCTAATCATGCAAAGTTCATGCTTGTGTTTGAATTATGGGTTACAAAAACTAGTACTATACGTGCTACACAAGTACCCCTATAGCGGTTCTCTCGGATGTAGGGTGTCATTCGATTTCTGACACGTGTGACAGGTCGCAGAGACAGCTCTATTTCCAGGTTGCGGAGGGAACCATGCGGATGGGATAGCTATACGTGGCAGCCTGTCATTAACCTGTCACAGGACACCATTCGTTTTTTTTAGGGGCTGCCCGTCACCATTTCGTACGAGGTCGAGGCAAAGCTGAGACCATGCAATGGCACCGCAGAACATGCAATATGCTAACATGGCAAAGAGTAGTTCGCAAATGGTCGAAGGGAAATGGTGAGAAGCCTAATATTTTGAGCCATGGGGCAGAAAATTCTTACTACGCCTGGCGTTTGAGGACAGAGCACAACCAATTCTACCAGCGAAGCAGAAGTTGGGATCAGGGTGGGTGCACCAAAGCTCGACGTCATTCTCGCCATTCCAATCTGAGTCGAGGTTCCACAACTAGTCTCACAAGCTTCCCTCTCATTCTAGTGTCGGCCTCTTATCCTGCAGGTAGAGAGTGTTTGTTAGTAACCGTTTAGCTACCTGCCATCTTCTGGCATACTTACGCGATGTCGTCCCAGCTAATCACAGACGGCTGCGGATTGTCGGTACGACTAGGGCGGGAGTCTTATGAAAGGTTAATCGCTCGTCAGGAAGAGTGGAACGAGGCGTTGTTACTTTTCGGCCTAGTGTATGTATCCAAGCGCGGTTTGTAACGCACGCTGACTTCATCGACACGTTGAACCCTTGTTTTTTAGACAGGCACCTGCTATCTTCTTACCTCTGCGACATGTCGGCTTGGATGCAGGGAGGTTGCCAAGGACAAGATTGGGGATCCTCGCGTTCGCAAAGACATAAAGATTCTGGCTCCTACCGAGCATCGGCGTTTGAGGTCTGCTGTCCCGCGTGTCCCCAGTTGTGGCAGCGAACATCGGTCGCTGTTGGACTACCAGATGGTTTTAATACCCATGATATCAGAGTGAGTTTCCTGACATGTATCCGCAACGTGTGTCGATGACACCAGCTATCTTGCTAATCCAAACTTCCATGTACCGCAGAGTCGCTGTTGTTCGCTCGACGGCGATCAGTCTCATGGTGCTGATGAACCCGCAAGATTTGTTAGCACATCCCCGCGGAGAGTACCGTACGCGTGTGCTACACTTCGACCCTAAATCTGCAATCCCAACCCATCGCCACAGCGAGCATGCCAAGGAGGTGTTCGAGTAGGTATCACTCCTTAAGCAGATGTGCGGTTTGTGTGGACGCATGATATTGATTATTTGCGACCCCCTTGCCCTGCAGCTGGCTTATCCGACAACTAGATGTGGAATACAGCCGAGGTCGCAGGGTCTCTGGCAGCCACGCCGAAGCGGTGCAGAAAGATTTGAGGGCTCGCCTAAGTGATCTGATTCTGGAGGAAGGCAGGGTAAGGAAGGAGCCTCTATTTTTATGATTTAAGCATTGTATGATATCAAGCTTGTACAAAGTAACGGGAGTGTCTGACAACCACCTTTTCACGCACATGTTGCAGATCAACAAGGTTCAGGGACAGAGGCAAGTGGGTTCCGGGCTGCATGTTACCCATGTGTTCAGCAAGTTGCTGGACAAATGGGGGGATGTCATGGCGATTCAGTCTGTAGAGCCGATGATGGTCTTAGGGAAGGGGAAAAACAGCGCGAAAGAAATTCGGAGTATGCTGGAGTCGACCTGCAGGGCCTTCTTCGACCTGCAAGGAGTCCAGCTCCGTCCCGCCCCGGATGCAGTCATGACGACCCACTGTGCTCGAGTGGTAGAGAGCGCACTCGCACAGAACAGATCCGAAGCGGTAGAGGGACAGATAGACGTACCTGCCGCAAACCGGGACGCAAATCCAAGAGTTGGGTTTATTTCATATTCCCGCCGACCTGCACCGAGGGATGCAGTACTCAGTGGCCCGACATCAAGGGCAGCCACTGCTGACGAGCATGATAGGTCTGGAGATAGGCAGCACAGGTTTGCTGATCGGGTTAGGATGCCGCAGGAACGCGAAGCACGGACGGAGACCGACTTGGCAAGCGTAGCAGATGAAGGCGAGGAGGGTGTAGAAGATCCACAGCTGCCAAGTCAGGTCGAACAGGCAGAGGAGCACTGGAGGAAGGCGGCTGATGAAAAGCGGATGGTCGAAGCAGAAGCCAAGAGTAGACGGGCTGAAGAGATGCAGCGGCGCAGTGATGGCGGCACCGATCCTACCGTCTCTTTCCCGGGAACTGGAGACATACGTGAAGCATGGGAGCGTGGGGCACGAGCCGCTGCAAGGGCACACGTGGGAGAGGCAGGAGAGGAGCTCGCCAGCAATGTGCGGCAGCATATCGAGGAGGATAGGGGATACGTGAAAGTTCGCTTGCCCAGCCTAAAGCGGAAGGCGGCAGAAGAGGCCCGGAGAGGGGACGTCGACGTGCCAGAGAATTCGGGAGAGGCGAAAAAGAAGGAGGAGAGCAACGCGGGTGCTAAGGCTCATAAGATGGTGGAGGTAGAGGCGCACCAGAATGCAGAGGATGCGGCCCATCGGTTCGTCGATGCAGAGGCGGTACTTACGGCAGAGGACGGGGCGCCAAAGGAAGCAGAGTCTGCGGCGCAGCAGAAGGTGGGTGCAGAGGCGGTCAAGGGTGCGGAGGCAGTCGCGCGTAAAGAAGCGGGTGCAGCAGCAGAGCTGACGTCGGAGGCAGTCGAGCTGATGGTTGTGGAGGCAGTGGCGCAGAAGGAATCAGAGGCAATGGCGAGCCAGAAGGATGAGGCAGCGGCGCAGCAGAATGATGAGGCAGACGCACATAAGGAATCAGCGGCAGCAGCGCAGCAGAAGGATGAGGGTGCGGCGCCCAGGATGGTTGAGGCAGAGGCGCAGAAGGAATCAGAGGCAGCGGCGCAGCAGAAGGAGGAGGGTGCGGCGCCGAAGATGGTTGAGGCAGAGGCGCAGAAGGCATCAGAGGCAGCGGCGCTGCAGAAGGAGGAGGGTGCGGCGCCGAAGATGGTAGAGGCAGAGGCGCAGAAGGCATCAGAGGCAGCGGCGCTGCAGAAGGAGGAGGGTGCGGCGCCGAAGATGGTAGAGGCAGAGGCGCAGAAGGCATCAGAGGCAGCGGCGCTGCAGAAGGAGGAGGGTGCGGCGCCGAAGATGGTTGAGGCAGAGGCGCAGAAGGCATCAGAGGCAGCGGCGCTGCAGAAGGAGGAGGGTGCGGCGTCGAACATGGTTGAGGCAGAGGCGCAGAAGGAATCAGAGGCAGCGGCGAGGGAGAAGGATAAGGCAGCGGCGCTGCATATGGAGGAGGCAGACGCACATAAGGAAGGAGAGGCTCGGAATAAGGCAGAAGCAGCGGCGCGGCAGAAGGCGGAGGCAGAGGAGCAGAAACAGGCTGCGGAAGAGGCACTACAACTGGCTCGGGCTGAAGCGCGGAAGAAGGCTGTTGTAGAGGCGCAGAAGAAGGCGGAGGGTGTTGCGCAGAAGATGTCAGAGGCCGAGGAGCAGAAGCAGGCTGAGTCAGACGCACGAAGGAAGCCAGATGGAGAGGACGGTTCAGATGGGAATAAAATGGTACAGACAGAGGGACGGGAGACGGCGGGTGCTGAGGGGCACATCATCGCAGAGGAAGAGGGGCAGCATAACGAGGAGGCAGCGTCGCAGGTATTCGCATACCGAGAGACGCAGAGCATGGCAGAGACAGGGCGTCAAAATACTATGGAGGAGGTTCGTGTCGTCCCGGAGGCTGGAGTGGGGCACTACGAGGGAGATGCGCTGGAAACAGAAGAGGAGCAGAATGAGGAGGATACGGTACATCCGGCAGTACGGATATTTTTGGGAGGAAGTCCGACGCGGGGACCAGGAACCGGGGTAGAGGGGCCATGGAGGGTGGCAGACGATGGGGCGCCTAGGGATACAGTGGGTCTCAACAGGCAGAGGCGGCCCACCCTTCACCAGAGAGCAGTGGAGAGGAATCTCGGCCAAGGCGGGGTGGCAGAAGCGTTTTGGCAGGTAGAGTGGGTCGAGGCAGAGACGGCAATACGGCGGATGCTGCATCGGACGAGTACAGTCCTGGTCGAACAAGGTGACAGGTTCGTCGAGGCCGAAAGCTGGGACATAAGCCCGGCAGAGGTAACGCGTCGTCTGACGCTCTTAGCCCGAATGGTGACGCAGACGTTCTGCAACTTGGCGGCCCGCAACAGCAGCATCAGTCGCGACGTGGCCGATCTGACCGTCCATTACTGTCGCGACGCCCTGGCCAACCTGGAAGAAGTCCGCCATGGAAACGAGGAACGGCGGCGCCAAGCTGAAACGGCGGCCAGGTTTCGCGAGGAGGTGGACACGAGACTCTCCAACTTGCAGGAGAGTATCGTAAGGGTGAGTGATCAGGTTCGCCAGTCGGGAGGGGGGATGGCGGAGGGCACGTTAAAGGGGGTGGAAGAGAGGTTGAGAGAGGTTCTGAGAGAAGAGTCTGAGCGGCGGAACAGGGATAGACTGCAGGACGAGGAGCGGAGGCAGAAGGCCATGAGGAAGGAAGCAGACGCCGCAGAGAGACGGAAGAAGGAACAACAGCAGGAGGAAGCGCGTCGGCAGAAGGAGATGAGAGAGGGAATGAAGGAGATGAAGGAGGCGATGATGAAGGAGATGAAGGCAGAAATGAAGGAGATGAAGGATGGGATGGTAAACCAGATTGTGGGGAGGTTGAGCGCGGTTTTGCGAGAAGAATCCGAGCGGCAGAAGAAGGAGAGGCAAGTGGACGCGGAGCGGCGACAACAGCAGGACGCGAAGAGGAAACAAGTGGCGGACGACGAGGAGAGACGCAAGAGGATACAACTGGACGAGCAATGGCGGAAGGAGGAGGAGGTGAAGAGGAAGGACGTAGAGGCCACAGAGCGGCGGAGGAAGAACAAACATCAGGAGGAAGAGCGACGGCAGAAGGAGGTGGAGGCGGGAATGAAGGAAGTGATGGAGGCTGTGAAGGAGATGAAGACGGGGATTACGGGGTGGAAGGAGGGGATGATAAGTGAGGTGGAAAAGCGGCTGTCAATGGTTCTGAGATTGGACGCAGAGCGGCGGCAAAAGGAGGAGCAGGGTAGGAAGGCAACGGAGGGAGATCGGCGACAGAAGGAGGATGCGCAGAGGAAGGAGGCAGAGGAAGCAGAGCGGGTGGAGAGGGAGAAACAGCAAGAGATGGCGCTCCTGCAGAAGGAGGAGGCGCAGCGGAAAGATGCAGAGGAGGCCGAGAGGCAGGAGAGGGAGAAACAGCAGGAGATGGCGCGCCTGCAGGAGGAGGACAGGCAGAGGAAGGAGGCAGAGGAGGTAGAGCGGCGTCAGAGGGCGAAACAGCAGGAATTGGACCGCCTGCAGAAGGAGGAGACGCAGAAGAAGGAGGCAGAGGAGGCCGAGCGGCAGCAGCGGGCGAAACAGCAGGAGATGGAGCGCCTGCAGAAGGAGGAAGCGCAGAAGAAGGAGGTAGAGGAGGCCGAGCGGCAGCAGAGGGCGAAACAGCAGGAGATGGAGCGCCTGCAGAAGGAGGAAGCGCAGAAGAAGGAGGCAGAGGAGGCCGAGCGGCAGCAGAGAGCGAAACAGCAGGAGATGGAGCGCCTGCAGAAGGAGGAAGCGCAGAAGAAGGAGGCAGAGGAGGCCGAGCGGCAGCAGAGGGCGAAACAGCAGGAGATGGAGCGCCTGCAGAAGGAGGAAGCGCAGAAGGAGGCAGAGGAGGCGGAGCGGCAGCAGAGGGCGAAACAGCAGGAGATGGAGCGCCTGCAGAAGGAGGAAGCGCAGAAGAAGGAGGCAGAGGAGGCGGAGCGGCAGCAGAGGGCGAAATAGCAGGAGATGGAGCGCCTGCAGAAGGCGGAGCAATGCCGAGCAGAGAAGAGGGCCAGACTTGCATCCTACGCGGAACAGCAGCGGCAACTGGAGGCAAAGGCAAAGGCGATGGCTGAAGAGACGGAACGATTGGCAAGGGAGATGGAAGAGGAGGATTTGACCATGCAGGGGGAGGGGACCTGGACAGGAGTCGAGGAGGATTTGACCATGCAGGGGGAGGGGACGTGGACAGGAGTCGAGGAGGAAATAGTTGAGGGGTTGGGGACTTTGCTGTTGATTGAGAGCGGGGAGGCGAATGTAGCAGAGGGCGTGCCTAGTGTTCCTGTACGGAATGTAGAGGTGTCCAGGAGGCGGCCAAGACAAGAGGACAGGGAGCCGGAGGGTCATGCGGCTAAGAGACGGCGTGCAGCTGGAATACAGGAGTTGATACCCATAATCCAAGGGGAAAAGAAAGGGATGAAGATCGACAAGTGTGACAACAGGAAAAACGCCGTAGTGGACGACAAGGGTAAGACTTTGGGTGTCTGCCTGCCGTTCAGGGGAAGCGGGTTCTCTCAACGGGGCGAGGGAGCTTTGCAGAAGTGGACGTCTGAGCAGACCGTCGGCGGCCGGAAGCGGAACCTCGGCTCTCACAAAACGGTGTGGGAGAGGGCATACACGGTCGCAGTCTGCTGGAAGTTCTACTTCCCGGATATTGACATGCAGGCATACGGCATGAATCCAAACCGTATAAACAAGTGGCGGGAAGACCTCGACTTCACAACGTGGCTTCCAACAGGGGTGTGGAGCGTCATCAACGAACTCCACCTGGACAAACCGGACGGGTGAGTGTTTATGTGATGTACAGTTGCAACTTCTAAACACCCGCGAAGTTCGATGGTTCTGATCTTGCGACACTGGTGTCTTGTGCAGATTCTCACTCGTTCAAACCAACACGGCTCTTCGGCAGCAGCAGGGGGATGGCTTTCAGGTAGCTGCCTGCGCTGGTGTCGGAATAACTGCGTGGCAGAAGATGGTGGGAGGCGTGGAGGGTGAAAACGGCTATTCGACGGAAGAACACGCAATCGGACTTGCCGCCACATTGTCTGTAATGTGGGCCGCATCCACGAATGTGGACCAGACCCAGTGGGAGACGGGCGCAACAACAGCTGCACGTGGAACTTCTACGGCCATAGCATCTTCTGCTGCCAGATCGTCCACTGCTGCCACCGCCTCGTCGGATGCCTCGTCATCTTCTGCGGCCGATGTGCCCTCTGCCGTCCACAATGCCCTTGCGACGCTTGCAGCCTCGGTTGCTTGCGTTGCGGTTGAGGCGATGAGGTCGGTAAAGGATCAGGAGCATGACAAGGAAGCGTGGATTCTGCCCCTGTCGGATGCGCTGCTGAAAGCGCTTCCGGCAGAGTCGCGAGCGGCCGAGGATGCGAAGCGGATGACGAGGGTGGTGGCAAAGGTGGTGACCTCTTGGTGCCTATGCAGCATGGCATCAAGAGGCCTTCGCCAGCACCAGGGCGTCTGGCTCGGAGTCCTGCAGAAGAAGTTAGGCGGCCGGGATACCACAACAGGGGCGGATAAGGAGAAGAAAACCAAGAAATCGTCCGCGAAGGGGAACGCGACGAAGGATGCGTCGACGGAGGAGAACACCGGCACTGGCGGCCAGGATTGATAGAGGCAGACGGGTTCTTTGGAGGTCTTGTTAGTACCGCAGTAGAAATAGATTTTCCTTTTCGTTTTTTTTATTTAACCGTGTATAAATATAGGTGTTGTTGTATACAATACAATGAGAGATGTATTTTTGCTATGCAAACCTTCACTACACTAGCAAAATTTGTAGGGCGCGTATGGAGCTAGCAATGCAGCCGATAGAACTCGCCATCAAAGGGAGGGCCAGGCGAATAAAAAAATTGACGACAGGACGGCCTTCTACGACACTTAATCTACGTTTAATACTCGGCTTCTACGAAGAGGTAGAAGTATGGGGCTAAACAATCGCATAACATCTTGTCTAAGGGAGCACCTTGTTAAGAACGTATACGGTATTCATATGCACAGACCTTTCTGCTATGGAGATTGAATTCCTCGACGCCGAATTCTGGAGGCAAATTGGAACGCCACTATACCGCAGAAAAACCGACGTGTTGATAATATCTACCGTCATGGATAGGATCTTCGTTGCTACTAGTAAAATATGACACTGCTTTGCCCAGAAACATATGCTGAGACTGAATAAATCCACGCAAAAGTCTACCGAGTGACCTAAGAACACACATCTACAATCGTGAGAGTGAATTCATCGACGCCGCTCTGTAGAATAAAATCGTATACGATACGACATGACTCCGCAGAATTTCGCCCGGTGTATACCATCGATGTGTGCTTCATTGCATACACCAGAAAAACATTCTACGAAAAACAGCGCGCCCAGGGAATAAGGTGGCATACAAGCCCCAAATCGGGCTTCTACAGAGACAGACAAGTGCCTGTAGTGCATATTCGGTACAACCGGAATAAAGTACCCAAATAACTAAACCGCCCCACCCTTAAGGTACATGCCCCCTCATTTCTGCTCCTTGCGTTTCGACGCTTCGCCCTTCGCCTTTTCCCGTTCCGCCTTCTTCGCCGCAGCGGTTCGTTGTTTCTCCTCTTCCGCCTTCTTCTGCGCCATGTGTTCCTTGTGGATCTCCTCCCACTCATCATCACCAAACAGCGAAGTTGCCCACTCCTGGTCGCGAAGGCCCTTCTTGACTAACAGCCAGCCCACTCTGCGTTGCGCCAGGTCGTTGACGGTCCTCTTTTCCGTCGACGAACCGGTCTTCTGTTTCTTGATGGTCGGAGTCTCATGCAGCACAGCCAGGCCGTTGGTGAATTCCGTGAAGTTGCACACGAGTAAAACCTCGTCCAGCAGCTTAATGGCCGTTGCGGTCGCCGCCTCGGAGCTGTCTTTTCTTAGCGTCTCCACGGAAACCATGACACGATGCACGCGACGCATCTTTCGCTCGCATGCACCCACAGCCATCCCGGGCGTACCTTTGACAGCGAACCGGGAATATGCGGTGATGAAGCTGGAATTCTTGTCCTTCTTCTTATACCGGTCGAACTCTGCAAAGACTTCGCGCAGTGACCGGCCGCCCATGATGAGGCTTGGCTGCACCCACACTTTCCAGGCAGCAGCAACAGTGGTGGCTTCGCGCCAAGACACAACGACCACGACGAAGAATTCTTGGACGGCAACTGGTGCTTTGGATGCGTCCATTGCCTGGTTTCCTCCTGTTCCCGCGCTCTTCGACGATCCGTCGATCTCTGCAGAGGTGTTTGCCGCGTCATCCCTGGCCGCAACAAACCTCTTGTATGCTTCGAACTCTGCAATGACCCGAGCCTTGTCCTCTCACTCAGCGGCGAGTTTCTCCCTCAGTTCAGCGTTCTCCATCGCCAACTGCATTTCACGTCCTCTCAAAATCCCAAGCTCCTCCCTGAGCATATTGGCGGTGAGGTGCATCTTATGCAGCTTCTCTTCTGCGGTCGTGCGAAAGATAGCGTCCTGCAGAAACCAGCACGGCAGAACTCAGCATGAACGAATAACTCCTCTCTACCACTAATAGCAGGCACTTACTGCTTTGGCGGTGGTTTGGCCGGTTGCCCGAAGCTTCTCGCCCTGGAAGTGAGAGATAGCGACCAGGTACGCCCACTTTTGGAACAGCGGGTGGTTGCACAAGGGGCTCATCTGCACATATGGATGCCTCTCGCAATTGCACCGCGGGTTTCTCACGCCGTGCTGATGGCAGAACGCCCACATCATAGCCAGATCCTGTGCAACAACGAGGCGTCCGATGCTGGCGAGGGTGTCTAGGAACCTCGCCCCCGCATAGTGCCTCTTCAGCGGATCGGTCTGCGCAGCGTTCCATTCTTCGACCTGACAGGACGAGTATGCAGGAGAAATGGGACGGTTCATCATTGCGTATCAAAATTAAGCTACGAACGCGAAGACTGTACACTAGCACGTACCTTCTTCCAACCCTCTTCGACCCAGGGGAAAATGTGAAGCCTCAAGAGATCCAAGAGCTGCAACCACTCATCCTTCTCCTTAACCTTATGCCGCGGAAGCTTGGCGCGGGCTCTGCCGATGTAGTAGTCTCCACGATCCCCGCTGAATCCTGCCAGCAGCCAAACCGGCTTGAACGGTATGCCGAACACATAACACCTCCGCAACTCCCCCTGCGCCCATCCGCCCAGAGTGCCGATATCGTTGTCGGAGCAACCGTCGTCATGGAGTTGTTGCGCTCCGGATCTGCGGAATGCATGTGTTACCTTGCTCAGAATCCATCTCGCCTTCGTCATGGCCCACTTAATCCAGGTGTTATGCGTTTTGTAGTGCATCTCGTCTTGCTTCTGCTCTCCCTGGCCGCCCTTCTTCAAAGAAAAGAAGAGGTGCGCTTTCGTCCACAAGATCGGTTCAGAAAAGTCGAGAGGCTCGACGATACCGGGGCCGTAGCGCAGAGGAACGAGGTCGTAGATGAAATAAAGCCACAGGAACACATGGCCCATTCCGCAGAGCCGCCAGTCCCTATGCCTTGCAAGAAACTGATGATTCAGCTTGTTGTTGGGGTTGGTCTTCGACTTCCTGGAAACAACGACGAGTACGAAAACGTCCAGATAGTCGTCGAGGTGTGATGTGCTCCGCGTCATGCGGACAAAGAGGTTCCCAAGTCGAATCTTTCGAATGCTGCACCCTCTTCCGAGAAATTGGTGTCCGAGGTGCATCATAACCGGGACTTGCAGAGCCTTCCAGAGAGGAAGCGAGATTTGTGACGGAGGCGTCCGCCACCAGATCTCTAGGAGCTCTTTTCGCAGAACAGTAAGATGCAGCGTCCTATACTGGCTTCCCGTATAGCAATCACCAATTGATCCACGGGTTTGATCTCGACCATCCCTGCATAGAATAGCACAGTAATTAGGTAAAGCATGTAGAACAACATTCACACAAACAGAAAGCACCCGTATACGTTACTCACGCGACTTGCTCGTCGTTCAGATCCTTCAGCTTCACTTTGAAAAAATCCCGAGCATCCTTGATCCAGTCCTTGGTCAGTGTGATGGAGAAGCCGTAGAGCCTCGCCTCGCACCTGGCAAGGCATCCCATTGCGTTCATCTTTGCCTTGATCATTGAAGCCGTGCACCCCTTTGCCTCCTTCCCCACATATTTCTCGACGTCTGGCCGCATTTTTCCACGCAAAAACTTTGCCTGCTCGTCAGTTTCGCAGAAGAGATACTCGATGTATCGGCCGAGCCTCCATTCCGTGATTCGCGGCCCGTGCAGATGAATCTGCCACTCGTCAGAGCTGCACGACCACCCATCGTTTCCCAAGTTATTGCTCATATGAAACCCAACCTCGTCATGCAGAGAGGGAGCAAGGCTATCTGCCACAGGGACATCTACCATAGTTGCCATGAAGATGATCACCCACCACTTGAAGTGTAGAAAGTGGAAACAATAGTGCCTTCTCGTCCCGGCCTCTATCAGTCGAAGCGGGATTGTTGAACGCCGGATCCTGCTCTCCTTTTCCGCAACGTCGGTCTGCCGCTGCGCATTTCCGGGGGCCACAGCCTGCTCGACATGGCTCGCAGAATCGGGAGGTCGTCGTCGTCCCGGCGATGATTCTCCCTCCTCTTCTGCGTCAGAGTGATCTCCATCCTCCTCGTACCGTTCTTCGGGTGCACCGGGTCGTGGGCGCACTCCATCGCCTCCCGGCCCTTCACTCTCTTCTTCACTCCCCTGGACTTGAATCCGGACGGATGGTTCGTAGATACCACCCTGAAACAAATCCTCCTCGGTCGCCTCAAACTCGCTATCGTTCTCGCGATCCTGTGCGTAGTCTGGGTCAGTATTTTCAACGTCCTCTAGGTCTATTTCTCCATCCTCTGCGCCCTGGGCTGCCATGGGGCGAGAGTGGACCGAGCTGTCGGCCATTCACAGATTCCTAATTTATTAGCTAGCAACCGAGACTAGACGAAAGAATCGGATGGTGACAGCCGCGGTAGGTGGTAACGATTCGCAAGTGTGCAGATAACATAGGCAGAATGCTTAGTGGGCTAAGCGCAGAAGGCGTAAGAGAGTCTGTGCTTCAGACGTCTACACATTGGTCGTCGAACACCGCCTACAACTTGCGTTTACATATATATCTGCGCCTACAACTTGCGTATACAGGGTCGCTTGACTGTCCCGTACCGTATAGCTCTGTCACACTTTGTTTTACCGCTTTAATTCTCTACAACGAAACAACGAAAATAAGTTCCTACCATTATACGGATATAATCATCTACGGAACCCTTATGCTTGTACATAACTTTCGTGGGTTCGACGATATTATGGATTGGGAGCGAATACCTTTACCGATAAAAGAAGCCTAACGTCGAAGATGTCCGCCTACAAGAGCGGACGACCTATGACAATTGTTCCGGGCAAATACAAACAGTTCTACCGACAAAATATTATACCACACACATTTGCGCCTACATATGCGACCTAACAAGTACGACTACAGTTATCCTAACCGGGCTGACCCAAAAAAAAAACCCACTCTATACGACCTACGTCACTATGTCGAGGATCGCCAATGTTATGCCAGTGGGCCAAGCAGGCTTAAAAGATTACGCTGGTGGACTAACAGGTGCTGGAAGAAAAGATCTCAAAGGGCTTGCGGAACATGAAATGCAAATGAAAAGGAGCAAATGAGCACGAAAACATCTATTCATACCCATCCACCACACACAGAAGCCCGTGTCCAGATCTGGTCATCCAACCCTGGGCTGGATGATTCTCCCGCCAAAAAACAACAGTTGGGATATGGTCCTACTAGACGCTGATTGGCTCTTGCAGCCTTGGGACTCTGACAACAACTGTTGCCATGGCCACGTGTGCAGAACACCTACAGTTGGTAAACAATGACTATAAAACACAATGAGCAAACGTAGGATGCTACACTTGAACTCATGTTATTTATAAAACACATAACATCAAAGGTATAAAGGAACACACGTGCTGCAGCTTTAAGGTGGCAGCAAAAAAAAAACCGAGTTAAAGCATATAACGACGCAAGGAAGACCAGTTGGTCGCAACCGGCCATGCGACCGGCGGTCGTCACTTGTCGGCCAAAGAGTTACGATGGCGAAACATGTCATTCGCGACAAACATCACTGGCACAAAGGGTCAGGGCAGGTTGGTTGGAACACATTTTTCACGGTCAGGTGGGCGCTGAATTGTGGGCGGCTGGCCGTGTCGTATGCGGCGGAGCCTTGCGCCCAAGCCCTTCGGAATCCGGAACACACGGATCCAAGGCCTCGGATCATGGGGCAAACGCACTCGGAACTCCGCCACAACGTCGTAAGAGTCCCCCCTGACACGAGAATTCATCCCCGAAAGCCAATTCGGCACTACAGAATGTTTCAGTTTCTAATGAAACAAATGAAAAGTACATGGAAAACCCCCCTATAGGGGAAGGGGGGGGGGGGGGGGGGGGGGGGGGGGGGGGGCTTATATTGATCACCCGCCAAAGGGGGGTTATAACAAAATCGAGGTTTAATAAAGTAGAGTCCAGTCATCCTATGTTTGTTGTAAAAATTTATATAAATTTCCACAAAATGCTAAAAGGCTCCGACTGGCTGCTAATAAGATTATTTCGTTAAAAAGTGGGATATAAGCAGTCACAAATTTAGATAGGTAATAAATAGTACTTGGCAATAGTGGAGTAGTGCACAACAGACAGGTGAATGTGCAACACGAACTCTTGTGGAAATGGTGCAAAACGGAAATTGAAGATTATCCACAACGGCTTGTTTGAAGATCCGTGACTGGCTCGAAACAAGCTTCACCAATCCGGCGCCTCAGGACTTGATCTCAACGTCTTCGGCTGACATCATCCTTCAAGCTTTCCGCCTGTAAAGCAAAAGTGCCTGCTTGCGTGGCAGAAGATTTTTGTGTTGCTTCCAGCACCGAGTTTTGCTGGCTTGTTGGGAAAGCAAACAGCTTCGATTCAGGAATCGGGATGTCAATCCCGATCGGGGCTGCCCTGAAATGTGACGGAATAAATGTGAAAGGTAGCTGCCTGATTTTGAGCACTTCAGGGTAGTGTATTGTAAAAGCTTGACCCTTTTGCATGCCTTTTTGTGTAGTTGTTGAAATACAGCACTACATGTGAAAGTGTTGGGTCTGCCAATCAGTTGGAATCCAAGGCACATGGCTGGATTCGGTAAGACAGGCTGTCACGCGAATATGACGTGGTGGCACTGAACAGTGTATCTGTCGTTAAGGTTTTTTCAGCCTGGATTGCAAGCTGCACTCATATGGGTGCAGGCAGTCGTCACATCCAATCTCCCAATCCAACCAGCCCTCGAATCCCACCAGCTGGCCATGTTTTCTTCAGTGACCGTGGGTCGAAAAAAGCTGCAACGGAGCCTTTGAGAAGGATGACACACTGGCACGAATAAATGGAAGGTTTTCGGAAGACCAAATTAGCTGCCCTTGGTGAACAAACACACATTGAAGGTGGGTAGCACACAGCCGCTGCATGAGCGGTGTGCAGTGTCAAAATCGGGGCCAGCTCCTCACGAATTTCATCCACGCTGGCTCTGCCAAATCCGCGTTTATCCGCCGTTTTGACAAGATTTTTATTGTACGTATTACAGGGGCAGCCCAGAACATGTGTACATACCACGATTTTCCCACGGTAAGGGGAAAACGAAACAAAACGTCGCAGTCGCGAACCAACGACCTGTACTGTTCACGTCTAGCCACTGCCCGCATGTGCTTGCCATGTAAACCCACTATCCAACCAGGCCTGTCGAAGTTCCTGGGGCCCCTACTTGAAGTCCCCAGCTCCTCCCTATCTGACCCTGTTTTGGCCGTAGCTGAGTGTTTTGGCGCCCTTAACGGTCACGGGCGCAAGCCAAAGTGAAAACTTGAAATCCGGGCTTGCACTTACACTATCTTAGCTAAGGGATAGTTCTGCTGCTCCAAAGCTAACTTTGAGATATCACAAACACAGGATTGGCTAGAAAACGCCAAGGGGAAAAAATCCCTTGGCTCGCTCTCGTGCAACCTAAGGAGAAAGGGGGGAGGAGTAGGGGGGGGTGAGGCATAATTTCTTCGGGGGGGGGTCCTAGAACCGGAAATCAAAACTTTTTGGGTAGGGAAGGCCTGATTGGAGCACTTAACGCATCCGGGGAAGGGTCGAACGAAGCACTTAGTGGCACGGGTGCAGGGCGATCCTAACACTTTTTGCAGTCGAGCTGGAGCGAAAGTAGCCCGGAATTTCAGGGCATTAAGGGCATATGCCCGTCAATCAACAGGCCTGCATCCAACCCACTCCCCAACGTCATTTCTTGGTTGACATAGCATACAAATGCATTGCATGTTCCGCCATTTCTCTTCGAACAGACCAGACTCTGACACAACAAACCAGGCCATGCGTCTATGACCCAAACCACCTCCAGCGAGCTGGCTTCGTTCCACCCCGCCAGGACGGTCTGACAACAATCCTCTTGCCTCCACCTCATGGGTGCCTGCTATTTTTCCATCAGCTCAGTTCCTTTTCACAACTGCTCGAACACTCTCACACTTGACAGCCTCTTGCTCTAACAGTACATATTGTGCATCAGCGGTGTGATTCCCCGAAGCCTTTCTCTTCCCAATTCGTTCTTCCAACAGAAGCCATAACTTCTGTTTCCAATTTGCGTCACCTGTTCACAGTATCTAAATTAGGTTTACCCAGACATAGACTGAACTAGTTTGGTGAAGAATACGAAAACCTCTCGTGGGTTCGTTCTCCGAAGCGCACGAGAAGTATTAGACTCTGACAACGGATGGCTGCAGCTGCTGCTAGTGGCTGGGACGACGCCACCGCGCCGCATATGAATAAGTACGCCATGTTCGCTCCCGGAACCGACCGCACCATCAGCAAGGAGGAATGGCGCCGCCAGCAGGCGACGCTGATTAAAGCCATCGACCCGGAATTCTCGGGGAGCCTCGTGTGCCCCGTTACTGTCCGCAACTGGCGGAAACTCGAGGCGAGCGCCGCCCCGTCAACCGCCGACAACGAGACGGCGGACCTGTCAGAATTTAATGGCATGGCGGCTGCTGCGGATTCGACGGCGGCGACGGTGGGAAATTTCCCGCCAGGAACGGAGAGTAAAAGCGTGTTTCCGCCGAGCGCGGAGGGCGCTTCGGCGGGCTACTACGCGCCTTCTATCGCGTCGTCTACTACCACTTCTTCCGTCTCCACCTTCACCGATTCCTCCGCGTCAAGCGCGTCGCTTTCCCCCAGCCCGCCTCCCCCAAGTGCTCTCAACGTTCCCCCTTCCCCCAGTGCCGCCAACGCACCCGCTGCCGCACCCGCCGCCGCACCCGCCGCCCCCGGTAGTACCGTCTCGTCGGCCTCCAGCTCACCTGCCAACTCGGGGAAGTTCCCGCGCGCGCGCATGTCGCTCGCGCAGCAGATCCGCGAGCAGCAGATCAACTCGGGCAGATTTAAACCCATCGTTTCGGGCAGATTTCGCGACGGGGCGTCGGACAGTGGGCGGTTCCCCATGTCGCCCCTGGAACCGAATTCGGGGCCCAACTCGGGAAAGTTCTCCGCAGTTTCCCCTTCTTCCAGCCAGGGAAACTCGGGCGCGTTCCCCAGCCCCGCCGGGCACTACGCGACGAGATCGATGGGCGCGGACGGGGGGGGCGGCGCAAGTGGGCCGCTCGCAATGGCGCAGCCGTCGGCGCTTTGGCGACAGAGCAGCGACGGGCATCGCATGGCGGGTGCGACGATGGAACAGAGTCGCATGGCGGGTGCGACGATGCAGCCAGGCCAACAGGCTCCGCTGATGGGTTTCCGCATGGGCGCGCAGGGCATGGGCGCGCAAGGCATGAGCGCGCAGGGCATGGGCGCGCAAGGCATGAGCGCGCAGGGCATGGGCGCGCAAGGCATGAGCGCGCAGGGCATGTGCGCGCAAGGCATGGGCGCACAAATGATGGGCGCTCCTGGCGCGACTGTGGGCGTTGTCCCTGCGATGAGCCCTCCTGCGATGGGTGGTCCGTCGCAGAGCAATAATCTGTCGCCGCGCGATATGATTCTCCTCCGCCCGAATAAGTGGAGCGGCGCCAACGTTGCGGATGCCCCCCTCCTCCCGACCTTCGGCTCGTGCGCTCTCTCCGATAGTGAGTTCACCACTCTTACGTACGCCACTCTAACGTACGCAGAAGCAAATACATGTTTGAAAGTGAAGAATAAATATGAACAAAATCGGTGCATCTTGGGTTGATTTTTTTTTCCCTTGTCGTATTGTCCCTTCACACTCATTTTGCTGTTATGCTTTCTCCCCATTACCCCTGTTTTCCTCCCCGCAGCTGCTTCACAATGCTCAAGCCACGATTCGTTCGCCTCGACCCCTCAGCTCTCTCGACCCGTTCCTACCTTCGCGTCGCGCCCGCCTAACACGGGTAGCTGGGATGGCGGCAACGCAGATGATGACGACGAGGAAAAAGAGCTCGATTTCTCCTCAGTCCGCTCCGTTTGTCTCAATTTCGAGGAGGTTTTAGAAACCGCTGAGACGAAGGAGTTTAACCGGGTGCGAATCGAGACCATTGATATTGTCCCGTTGATTTCCGGGATGAAAAGCCCGTTCATGGCTGCAGCTGCCGCGAACCTTCCCGAGCATGTGCTGTTCGCGCTGACATTTGCCGGATCGGATGATATTTACCTGCCCGGAGATGAGTCGGTTCTGAAACTTTTTCCGAGCCGGTTTCAGACGAAGTACTGGGAGCAAGAGCGGCGGAGGCAGGAGGAGAAGGGTCGGAAGGAGACGAAGATGTGGCAGTCATGGCAATCCCAAGGGAACTCGAACAAGCAGGAGCAACAGGTGTGGCAACCACCGACATCACCTCAGCAACAGCAACAGCAACAGCAGCAGCCTCCGCAGCAGCAGCAGTGGCAGCAGCAGCCTAATCAGCAACAGCAGTGGCAGCAGCAGCAGCCTATTCAGCAACAGCAGCAGTGGCAGCAGCAGCCTAATCAGCAACAGCAGCAGTGGCAGCAGCAGCAGCAGCAGCAGCAGCAGCAGCAGCAGCCGCCTCCGCAGCAACAGCAGCAGTGGCAGCAGCAGGGACAGCAGCAGCAGCAGTGGCAGCAGCAGGGACAGCAGCAGCAGGGACAGCAGCAGCAGCAGTGGCAGCAACAGCAGCCACAGCAGCCTCAGCAACAGCAGTGGCAGCAACAACAACAGCAGCTTTCACAACAAAATTGGCAACAGCAGCAGCAGCAGCAGCAGCAGCCTCAATGGTAACAGCTGGTACAGCACCAGCTGTAGCTCGAGTGACAAGAGTGCGGGGTTCTCAGCTGTCTCTCCCCGTCGCTCGCCGCTATGGTAACAGCCTGCGCAGGATACGGGACAGCCCCAGCTGTAGCTTGGGTGACAAGGGTAGCATGACAACCCCCAGATGGTGCATGTTGCAGTGACCCGGCTGTCCCTCGCGCCAGGTTCTCAGCTGTCTCTTTCCGCCTTTGTCTGCAATGGTAACAGCTGGCACGGGACAGCCCCAGCTGTAGCTCGATTGGCGAAGGGTAGCATGACACCCCCTGGTCCTGGGCTCAGGAGCTGACACCGCCCGTGAAGATACTGGAGGGTGTCGGTTGGGCTGTGTATGCTCTTTTGATAGTGGAGGAAACATGTGTTTTAGTTTATCTGCTTGCTGCAGATGGTTGTGCAGGCAAATGAGTTTTGTGGGATCTTCCTTGGTCAATGCCTTGTTTTTATTGTTTTCAAATAAATGATGTGTGGAGCACCAGTTACGGCTCAGGAGCGCATGAATTGTGCCATTAGTGTTTGATAAGGGGTAGAGACGTTTTTATTGACCGTTCTTTTTGAAGTCCTGAGAATTTAGTCTCAATAAATCTTATCTGCTACGTCAAATTGGAGTAGCACTTTGGCGAGTATAGCAGGCAGGCGCTGGATAAAACTGCGGCAGCGATCCTTCGCGCGAAGCCTCGTCACGCCACGCAACCTCCAGAGCTGTCGCACTTTTGTGACTATAACGACGGGTGCCAACAATGTTCCTGCGTGGCAGGTCACTTCTCCCCTTATTGCGGAAGTTTTGAGACATTCAGCAAGCAATTCAGGTAACCAAACCAGCAGAGATATTGTGTAACCGCTCCATATCACGACATAACTCCCTCAACCGTACAAACAAGGCCGTCAACAACCACGCTTGGGAACTCCAACTCAAGCATATCCCGCGATGGCCTAAGGCGATGGATGCTTTATCAGGACGCCATAATTGTCAAACCTTCTTATCTCGCAATTCAGCTCGCGACTTTCCCAATTACGAGCTGTCGCTCCTAACTTTCACCCGTCAGCATTCCCCGTCCCTCAGCCATTTGCTTTGGATTCGCCGTCGAACCTCGCGTCCGGCCACTCTCATCAACCCAGTTTTAATTCAGAGGAAAAAAACTTCCAGATTCCAGACGACCAGCTCAATCGATCTGGACAGACTCGCGAGCCGCTAGCATTCCATTACTTCCATCCTTGATCGTCTTTTGCCAACCTCCGCGTGCTCGTTGCCCCGTTCCCCTCGAGGCTCCTCCCGTCGTTACTGATTTCTTCGGCAACAAACAACTACTTCAACTACGCTAATAATGGCGTCGAACGGAAGCTTCTGGGCGACCGCGCGAATGTTCGTGCCGTCTGCGCTGGAGAGGCCTCGCGATCGGGACCAACGCGTGTTCGTCGCTTCGCCTGTCGAGTCCGTCGCGCAGCAAAGCGCGGAGCAGAAGGCCAAGGCCCAGGAGTGCGTCGATGGTGAGTCGACTTAAATTTTGCTAATTACACCCGGCTTTTGTTGTTCGTCGTTTCGCCTGTGGAATCTGTCGCGCAGCAGAGCGCCGAGCAGAAGGCCAAGGCCCAGTAGTGCGTCGATGGTGAGTCGACTAAAAAGTCGGCTCATTAGACGCGGTTATTATGTTGATAAGTTGTTTTCTGTCGTCGCTTCGCCTGCGGAGTCCATCGCGCAGCAACCGTTTTGTTTTTGCCAACAAGCCTTTCTGTTTGCCATCCCATCCACCTGCAGCCGGCGTTCGGGTGGGTTTCTATAACGCTGCATGGGCCGCTGCGCTTACGACGCCCCCAACAGTGAGCTTTTCCACCCCCCCTTGACTTGTTTTTGTCCTCCTGTTTTCTTTTGAAAGGAAAAAAACAGAAAGAAAAAAGAAACGATATTAGTAAGGATCAAACAGTTGCTTAGGACGACCCCATCAGTGGGCCTTTCCTAATCCCCTTGTCTTATTTTTAAGCTCCGTGTTGGAGTTTTTTTTTTTTCAAAAACTCAATACTTGCACCTCGTTTATGTGATGCATCGCAAGCCTTCAAATACGCTCACTGCGCTGCCCGCATCAGTGAGCCTTTCTTTGCAATGTAAGTTTCGAAGCATGAATTCCTGTTTCTCTGAATCTGAGGCGAGAATTTGATAAACATTCATTCCCCTGCGACAATCAGCCAACTACCTTCTCCCCATTTGATTTGTTACGCTGACTGCAAGGTTCATGCCATCATTTATCTCACAAATACCTCTCCAATCCCCCTTACCCTCTCCCATTTCCCTGTTTCCTCTTGGATTGCGGCCATGCTTCGTCCTCCCCAATCTCCACACATTTCTCACAATTCACAATTTAGATCGAATTATTGTCTGCTGGATTGCAGCTTGGCCGAAAGCAGATGTAGCTTTGCGAGTCATGAAAAGCTGACCCTGCTGCTGCTCCCTCCTCCATCTTTGTTCAGATCATTATCTGCCGAACCATGCCGTGGGCCAAGAAGAATCTCAACCACACAGCACAGGCTCTTATCATCAGCTCAGGTAGGTGGGGAGTGATGGAGCGTTTCAATCAAATCGATCTAGAAAGTCAACCACACACGGCACAGGTGGGTGGGGATTGATAATGTGTTTCCAGTTGAGTCTGACTCATGCTCTCAATATTCGCTCTGGTAAGTGGGATTTGGCTGTGCACTTTTTTCTCTTCAAGAAGCATTTAGAACTGGAGGGACCCCCCCGCCCCCCCCCTTAGACTAGACGCCATCCACACCTACTGCAGCTGGAATTTATTCCAATTTGTCTTCTGTTTGTAGATTTGTTGTGCTGGGCCGTAAGCGTTATTTCGAAGAGCAGAACTTGCGCTTCATTCATTCCTTTTCTGACCAGCTGCCTTTGCAGCGTACTTCTCACACCGGAGCACACTATAATGGACTGCACTTCACATTCTGCAAGTCCATCCCTTCTCCTCCACCCCGTTTGTCTGAGCAGCCGCCATTGCCGCGTATTTCATTACATCGGAGCACACTATTATGGAGTGCACACACCGTAAGTCCATGGAGGCCATACATGCGAAGAGGAAAGCCAAGGCCGAAGCTGCTGGATCACAATAGTTGCTGGACTGGACACTCTGTTTTGAATGTCGACATCACGCATCATCTCGTTTGATAGGACACAAGTGTGAGTCGTTTATTTCTTCAGTTTGCTGCATTGTTTTAAAACCATGCATTGGTGCCCTGCAGCACCTTCTGTTGCCTGCAATTGCGTCAGGTTGCTGCATCACCAGCTCTCATGGTGTATTTAAAGATTAGGAGGGGAGCAAGCTGCTTTCTAAATTACTACTTGACAGGCTCTTATAGCAGTACAGGAATGTGAGACTAAATTTAGGATATTCCACAAGGGGAAGTAGAAAAAATGTTATTCAGGACTATACAACACAATGAACCAATAAACATACCGGTACCGTACCGTTTTAAGCAGCCAAGTGCTGCTGCAGCTCTGCTGCCGCTGCACTTTATTCTCCTCCCCACGGTTTTCTGCAAACCAGATGCTCTGCACCTTGGAACTCCACAGACACCTCCCACCATAAACCCTAATCCTGCTGCTGCTCTCTGTCTGCCCCTCTGGTCGCCACATAGTCTTCTGAAACACCAGAAACGTCTTCCTTCAGCAAAACGCGCCGCATCTAAACTACCATCTCACTGCTGCTGCTCTGCCTGCCCCTCTGGTCGCCACATGGTCTTCTGAAACACCACAAACGCATCTCCCTTCCTTCACCAGCACCGTCTGGCTCCACCCTAACCCCCTCGCAACCCACTCACATGGTACTGCTGCTCCTGTGTTTGCCCCAACCTATGTCCCTGGCAAACTCTCATTACTGCTGCTGCTCTGCCTGCCCCTCTGGTCGCCACATGGTCTTCTGAAACACCACGAACGCCTCCCTCCCTTCCTTCACCAGCACCGTCTGGCTCCACCCTAACCCCCTCGCAACCCACTCACATGGTACTGCTGCTCCTGTGTTTGCCCCAACCTATGTCCCTGGCAAACTCTCATTACTGCTGCTGCTCTGCCTGCCCCTCTGGTCGCCACATGGTCTTCTGAAACACCACGAACGCCTCCCTCCCTTCCTTCACCAGCACCGTCTGGCTCCACCCTAGCCCCTTCGCCACGGCCTGCAGGAAAGGGATGTGCTGCGCGTGCTCGCGGGCTATTAAGTAGCCAAAGGGGCGAAGAATTCGGTCGATCTCGACCACTATGTCTGCTGCCTCGCACCTGGGAGGGGAGAGCAGGGGAGGATGGTGTAGGGATGAGAGAGGAGAACGGGATGTGATGCGCGTGCTCCCGGGCTATCAAGAACCCCCAGGTGCGCAGGATTCGGTCGATCTCCACTGCTATGTCCCCAGCCCAGCAGCCCTGATCCCAGCAGCCCCTCACTCTCACCACTTTTCAGTGAGCTCCTTTCCGAAGTGATGATCCCAGTGCACGAGGTCGTAGGTGCGAGGGTACGTGTTGTTGAACCCCTCACACCAGCCGTGGTACACAAACGGCTAACGTCCAATATCACCTGGTTCCCACTACCTTCAATCCCCTTGGTGCTTCTCACCTCTTTTCCGTGAGCGCCTTCCCGAAATGGTGATCCCAGTGCACGAGGTCGTAGGTGCGAGGATAGGTTTTGAACGCCTTGCACCAGTCGTGGTACACATAACACGCCCAGCAGCCCTCAACCCAGCAGCTCCCAGCTCAGCAGGCCTCAGCAACCTGCTGCTTGGCCCCAGGCCTCAGCGCTCACCTCTTTTCAGTCAACGCCTTCCCAAAATGGTGATCCGAGTGCACGAGGTCGTACGTCCGTGGATAGGTGTTGAACGCCTCGCACCAGTCATGGTACACTCCCAGCAGCCCTCGGTCGAAGACGACTGGCAGGGTGTCAGGGCTGGTTGTGGGCACCACGCTCATCACCCACACAGGCTTGGCCTTTTCTAGAGCAGCACCGAAACTGGGGGATGGGGGTAAAGCAAGGGAAGGGAAAGCAGGGGAAGGGCAACGAGGTAAGGGCACCAGTCGTGGTACACTCCCAGCAGCCCTCGGTCAAAGACGACTGGCAGGGTGTCAGGGCTGGTCGTAGGGACCACGCTCATCACCCACACAGGCTTAGCCTTTTCTAGAGCAGCACCGAAACTGTGGGGAATGCGGGGTTGCAGGGCAAGGAGGGAAAGGGAATGAGGGGAGAACACCAGTCGTGGCACACAACACTCCCAGCAGCCCTCGGTCAAAGTCGACTGGCAGGGAGTCAGGGCTGGTTGTGGGCACCACGCTCATCACTCACACGGGCTTGACACCCCCCAAGGCAGCGCCAAAGCTGGGTATGGAAGAGGGGTGGAATGGGGCAGTGAAAGGGCTAGTCAGAGGATGTTACTGGCAGGGTGGCAGGGAGTCCAGGCTGGTTGTGGGGACCACGCTCATCACCCACACGGGCTTGACACGCTCCAAGACAGCGCCAAAGCTGAATGGGAGAATTGGGTGGGGCAGCGGCAGAATGATAGGGCGAGTGGGTCAGTGAGTGAGTGAGTGGGGCAATGATAGGATAAGCGGCAGGGTGGCAGGGTGTCAGGACTGGTTGTGGGCACCACGTGCATCGTCCACACGGGCTTCGCTCGCTCCAAGGCAGGTCCAAAGCTGAATGGGAGAATCGGTATCTCCATTGGAGAGGGGTGAGTTGGTATCACAGTTAGGGTGGTGGCTGGCAGGGTCTCGGGCTGGTTGTGAAAACCACTTTCACTGTCCACACTGGCTTAACATGCTCCCAGGTAGCACCGAGACTGTGGGGGAAGGGAAAGGAGGAAAAGCACCCGTCGTGGTGGACCCCCTTTGCTGAGTCTGCACGCCCTCCCAGTTGGTCCCCAACCCATCCACATAATGCCGCACCACCCGCTCCCAATGCCCCACTCAGTGCCTCTCTAGGCACCACAGCACAGGCACGAAGCAACTTCGTTTTGAGTCGTGTTTTGAGTCGACTCAAAAGCAACTTAGTGCCGCACGCCCTCCCACCGAATCCCAAGCCCTTCACCACTGGCAAAGAAGCAACTCAAGTGCTCCCATCCATCCCATCCCTACTCACCCGCCATAGCGTGAGTCCATATCAAGCACGTTCCGCAAGCCCTCCCATTTGATCCCCAGCCCATCCACATAATGCCGTACCCACCCGCTCCCAATGCCCCACTGCCTCCCAGCTCACTCACCCGCCATAGCGTGCGTCCATATCTAGCACGTTCCGTACGCCCTCCCACCGAATCCCCAGCCCATCCACGTAGTGCCGCACCACCCGCTCCCAATCCCCCACATCATGCTGATACTCCTTCACTACTGGCCGCCTATACACCCCCACCACCTCCCCTCTCTCTCCCCAAGGTGTGGAAGCAGCAAATCACTCACCCGCCATAGTGTGCATCCATATCTAGCATGTTCCACACGCCCTACCAGCTAAGAGGTGGGAAAGAGAGCAACTCACTCACCCGCCATAGTGTGCGTCCATATCAAGCACGTTCCGCACGCCCTCCCAGTTGATCCCAAGCCCATCCACGTAGTGCCGCACCACCCGCTCCCAATGCCCCACATCGTGCTGATACTCCTTCACTACCGGCCGCCCATACACTCCCACCACCTCCCCTCTCTCTCCCCAAGGTGTGGAAGCAGCAAATCACTCACCCGCCATAGTGTGCATCCATATCTAGCATGTTCCGCACGCCCTACCAGCTAAGAGGTGGGAAAGAGAGCAACTCACTCACCCGCCATAGTGTGCGTCCATATCAAGCACGTTCCGCACGCCCTCCCAGTTGATCCCAAGCCCATCCACGTAGTGCCGCACCACCCGCTCCCAATGCCCCACATCGTGCTGATACTCCTTCACTACCGGCCGCCCATACACTCCCACCACCTCCCCTCTCTCTCCCCAAGGTGTGGAAGCAGCAAATCACTCACCCGCCATAGTGTGCATCCATATCTAGCACGTTCCGCACGCCCTACCGGCTAAGAAGAGGTGGGAAAGAGAGCAACTCACTCACCCGCCATAGTGTGCGTCCATATCAAGCACGTTCCGCACGCCCTCCCAGTTGATCCCAAGCCCATCCACGTAGTGCCGCACCACCCGCTCCCAATGCCCCACATCGTGCTGATACTCCTTCACTACCGGCCGCCCATACACTCCCACCACCTCCCCTCCTCTCTCCTCCCCTCCCTCCTCCCCTCTTACCCTCCCGCTCTCCTCCCCTCCTGCCTCCTCTCTTATCTTCCTCCCCTTCCCTCTCCCTAACCACCCTGGAACCGCAGTCAACCGCTCTTCACTCTCCGCCGGCCACGCGCCGCCCCTCTCCTCCTTCCCGGACGGCACTGGATGCAGACATGCCTGCATGGGGATGTACCACGCCGCATCCGCGTTGTCCTGTAGCGGGCACATGGGCGGCAGATCACCGGCCGGCCGGGCGGCGTAGCAGTCGTTGCTGGTCGGCTTCTGCCACACGGCTACCCCAATGCCGAACCCGTGGCTGATCTTCTTACCCACGCGCTTCCAGCACATGCTGGCTGTGAGGTTTGTCATGGCTGGATATAGTTGGGAAAGAGAGGGAGAAGTTGGGAGAAGAGTGGGGAAGAATGGGACATGTGTGTGTCGGTGCTATGGCGAACCCGTGGCTGATCTTCTTACCCAGCTGCCTTCAGCACTCACATGCTTACTTACAGTGCGATTCGACATGCTCGAAACGTGCATTACCACATCTCAGTGTGCATTACACCTTCTCAACGTCCTTTGAGGCGCCTCCTCACATCTCAGTGCTTAAGCGTCCTCTCTACTACTGCAGCCCTTCGAAACATGAGTCAGGGTGACGTGCATTACCACATGTCAGTGTGCATTACACCTTCTCAACGTCCTCTCACCTTTCCAACCGCCTCTCGATGTTTCGACCGCTTCTCACCTGCCCTTTTTCCTTCGTCATCAGTGCCCTTGGCAGCACACTCCTTGCACACGGGGGTGGCTGACCAGATGAAGTAAACCCAATCCAGATAACACCATCTGAAACCGCATGTCACCGCACACCACACCTTCCTAACCGCTTCTCACCTGTCCATATCCCCTCGTCATCAGTGCCCTTGGCAGAGCAATCGTTGCACACGGGAGTGGACCAGGTGAAGTAGCCACCCAGGCTAAGACAATCAGGAACCATACGTCACCGTACACCACCCCTTTCCAACCGCTTCTCACCTGCCCAAATCCCTTCGTCATCAGTGCCCTTGGCGGCACACTCCTTGCACACAGGGGTTGCCGACCAGATGAAGTAGCCTCCTGGCCGGAGCAGCCGGTTCACCTCCAATAGCAGCTTGCCACCTGTACAGGTGAGATGGGGAAAGAGGGCAAAAATCGAGTATTTTGTAAGCAAGAAATCAGAGTAGTGGAGTCTAGCGGTTTGGGGGAATTTAGGGGATTTTGGCTCTGTGGGAGTTTACAAAATTCTGGTGTAGGGCGGGCCTAGGGGGGTTCGGTTTGGGGGGGATTTGGGGGGATTTGTTTAAAAAAACAACCGGGTGCTTACCCTCTGCGTGCCAGGGCACGCGGCAGCGGGCGCAGTGGAGAGCATCAAGCACGTTGGAGGGGAGCGGCTGCATCTGCGTCCCCATCACCCCCACCAGCGCCGGCACACCCAGTTTCAGGGTTTCGGGTTAAGGGTTTGAAGGGATTTCAGTGGGGTTATGTGGAATTTGGTGTGAGGAATTCGAGTGCTTACCCTCTGCATGCCAGGGCATGCGGCAGCGGGCACAGTGCAGAGCGTCAAGCACGTTGGAGGGAAGGGGTTGCCCAGTTCAGAGTTTTGGAGTGATGGTTTTGATGGTCTCGATGCCTGCCCAGCGGGCGCAGTGCAGAGCGTCCAGCACGTTGGAGGGGAGTGGCTGCCTCTTCGTCCCCATCAACCCCCACCAGCGCCGGCACACAGATCTCAGGAGATTTGGGGTGACGGTTTCAACGGGTTCTGAGGAGCTTAGAGTGGTTGAGGGGGGTTTCAGCAACAGGAAACTTGGTGCTTACCCTCTGCGTGCCATGGCACGCGGCAGCGGGCGCAGTGGAGAGCGTCAAGCACGTTGGAGGGGAGGGGTTGCCTCTGCGTCCCCATCACTCCCACCAACGCCGGCACGCCCCGCTCTAAAGCGAACTGAACCTGCAACATGTGAACGCCCCAGAGTGAAATAAGCAGAAACGGAAGGCAGGAAATGAGGTGACGTTTGAGTCGACTCAGACGGGCTGCCTCTGCGTCCCCATCACCCCCACCAGCGCCGGCACGCCTCGCTCTAAAGCGAACTGGACCTGCTACACGTGATGGTTCCAGGGTAAGAAGCACAAACGGAAAGAAGGCGTACTTCATGTTGCAGTGCAAACTGAAGGGCAAACAGCTGAACAACTTGCTTAGTAAACAGCAGCAGCGCATATAGCAGAGAAAACAGCAGAACACACAGCAGAGCAAACAGCAGAACACACGGCACCTGTGCCTGGTGCTCGTCCCAGGGCGCTACAGACATGCAATACGAACACTGCGAACGATGAGCTACTTCAGTCAATAACAAGGACACTCCGAACCACACCGCACCGCACTGCACCTGTGCCTCGTGCTTGTCCCAGGGCGCTACAGACATGCAATACGAACACTGCGAACGGTGAGCTACTTCAGTCAATAACAAGGACACTCCGAACCACACCGCACCGCACCGCACCTGTGCCTTGTGCTCGTCCCGGGGCGCTACAGACATGCAATACGAACACTGCGAACGATGAGCTACTTCAGTCAATAACAAGGACACTCCGAACCACACCGCACCGCACCGCACCTGTGCCTTGTGCTCGTCCCGGGGCGCTACAGACATGCAATACGAACACTGCGAACGATGAGCTACTTCAGTCTATAACCAGGACACTCCGAACCACACCGCACCGCACCGCACCTGTGCCTCTTGCTCGTCCCGGGGCGCTACAGACATGCAATACGAACACTGCGAACGATGAGCTACTTCAGTCAATAACAAGGACACTCTGAACCACACCGCACCGCACCGCACCTGTGCCTCTTGCTCGTCCCGGGGCGCTACAGACATGCAATATGAACACTGCGAACGGTGAGCTACTTCAGTCAATAACAAGGACACTCCGAACCACACTGCACCGCACCGCACCTGTGCCTCGTGCTCGTCCCGGGGCGCTACAGACATGCAATACGAACACTGCGAACGATGAGCTACTTCAGTCAATAACAAGGACACTCCGAATCACACTGCACCGCACCGCACCTGTGCCTCGTGCTCGTCCCGGGGCGCTACAGACATGCAATACGAACACTGCGAACGATGAGCTACTTCAGTCAATAACAAGGACACTCCGAACCACACCGCACTGCACTGCACCTGTGCCTCGTGCTCGTCCCGGGGCGCTACAGACAAGACGCGCGTGTGGAAGGCGTCGAGGTACGCGCCGAAACTTGCCACCCCACAGCCCATGTCCAGCATGGCTCGAATGCGCTTGCCGAAGGACAGGAAGGGGAAGACCTGGAGGTGGGAGATGGGTGGGGAGTTGGAGAGTAGGGTAGTAAGATGGTGAGAGGAAGGGAGGGCAGGCGGGTATGCACTGAAACTTGCCGCCCCACAGCCTGAAACTTGCCGCCCCACAGCCTGAGTCCATCATAGCTGGAAAGCGCTTGCTGATGTACAGATCGTGAACATCACTCCCTCCCTCTCTTCTCTTCACTCCTCTTCACTTCTCTCCTCTCTCCTCTATCCTGTCTTCTTCTCTCCTGTCCTCTCTCCTTTCCTCTCTTCCTGTCCTTTCCTCTCTCCTCTCTCCTCTCCCCTCTCCTCTGTCCTCACCCTTTTCCTCTGTCATCGCCTCTCTCCTCTGTCCTCTCCTCTCTCCTCTGTCCTTTCCTCTCTCCCCTGTCCTCTCTCCAGTCTACTTCGTACGTACTCGCTATCAGGAACTCCATGCTCACCTCTTGCAGCCGGGGATGTATTCAGTGGAACGATAATTAACTGCTTCACTCTTTGCTACGCTCTTTTCAGTACACTCTACTCTACCCCATGCTGTACTCGCTAGAAGCAACCCCCTACACACCTCCTTTAGCCAGGTGATGTGCTTCATGACACCGTACTTCAACAATGAATCACCAATTAGTGTACGTACTCGTTATAAAGAACCCCTTACGCACCTCCTGAAGCCAGGTGATGTACTTAGTGACGCCGTACTTAAACTGCGTCCCGCCGCCCGGAAATATAAACCTGTCTCCTTCAGGCTTGATCCAGTTCTGATCCGCCTTGTAGTTTGCTAGCTGCGTGTGTGGCACATTGGCGAACCAGATCTGTGGTAGAGATGCAAGGGAAGTGACGGGGAGAGAATGAGAAGTGACGCAAGGGAGGAAAAAAATGCGTGTCTCCTCGGGCTCAATCCAGTTTTAATCCGCCTTGTAGCTTGCGAGTTGCGTGGTAGGGGAGGGGAGGGCGGTGGGAGGACAGGAGGGAATGAGGGTCAGGCAGGCTTGGAAGGGAAAGGAGGGTGGAGGATTGACAACTGCAACGGGGTTTCAGTTGCGTGTGCGGCACGGGCAGATCTGAGGTAGGGGACGGGAGGGATGGGGAGAAGGAGACGAGAGAATGAGGGACGGGCAGGGAAGAGGAGAGCGAGTGGAGTAGTGTACCCCTCACCTGGTCCCTCCACTGGGGCCAATTCACGCGCGAATTGTACCCCTCAGGCAGCGGCAGCAGGCAGCAGGCAGCAGGCAGCAGGCAGCAGGCAGCAGGTAGCAGGCAGTAGGTAGCATGCACGGCAGCACACCAAATGTTACATTCTCCATACGCCCTCACTTGGTCCCTGGACTCGGGCCAGCTGACATGCGTCTTGTACCCCTCTGACACAGGCAGCAGGCAGCAGGCAGCAGGCAGCAGGCAGCAGGCAGCAGGCAGCAGGCAGCAGGCAGCAGGCAGCAGGCAGCAGGCAGCAGGAAGCGGCAGCAGGCAGCAGGCAGCAGGAAGCGGCAGCAGGCAGCAGGCAGCACGCCGTCTTTTCCAGGGCAGTGCCGCTCGCGGTGCTCCTAGTGCCCCCTCGATTCGTGTGCCTTGTACCCCTCGGGCAGCGGCAGCAGGCAGCGAAGCACGCCGTCCTTCCCGGGGCAGTGCTGCTCGCGGTGCTCGTAGTGCCTCGTCGACTTGAACCCTAGATTAACGTCCCTACGCCCGTTCCCTTCCTTTCTCACACGCTTACCCACCTGGTCCCTCGACTCGGGCCAGTTGACGTGCGCCTTGTACCCCTCGGGCAGCGGCAGCAGGCAGCGCAGCGCGCCGTCTTTCCCGGGGCAATGCCGCTCCCGATGCTCGTAGTGGCTCGTCGACTTGAGTGCCTTGATCGCAGCCTCGTTCTCCAGGCACGGGATGAAATCTGGACCCTCCGTTTGGCACAGCGGGAACACGGGCGCTGAAATCTGCAGATTGAAGGGCAGGGCGGGGCCGGAAACGGATGACGGGGGGGGGGGTAAAAGGAGAAGGTGTCGAAGTTTCTGAAACCGGACATAGGCGACACGTTTCTGACTGAGTCAAACTAGGAGAAACGGAAATCGTCAAATGTGTGAGTTAACGTCCGTGAATCCTCGTCTACCACGTCATGGTAACAACAGACAGAGTTTCGAGACGGGTGGCGGAATGCGGTCGCACCTTATCTTCCGCTGCTTCCGCCTCCAATGCGTGAGGGCCGTTCACGAAGCCCTGAGTGCGGAAGGGGCAGGGTTGTGGGGGGAATGGAGAAACGGCGGAAGGGTCAGGGTTGAGTGGCGAATGGGGAATGGGGGAAGGGTCAGGGTTTTGGGTGAGATGGAGAGACAGGGTTGAGGGGCGAATGGGGAGGGGACGGGGAAAGGGTCCGGGTTGTTGGGGGAAAGGGGAGACCGAGGAAGGGCCGGGAACGATAGCTGATTTGAGAGGTCAAACGTTGGACCTAAACAAGGAGGATAGTACCGCCATTGCCAAAACAAAACGGAAAAACCAACTCGGCATACAGTGAACGATTGCGCGGGTTCCATCGCGTCGGGGTCGGCCGTCTCCGTGACGTCATCTTCCAACGATTCCATCTCCACCGTTACACCTGACGACCGCTGCGGGTTGACCGCTACACTTGCCGGCTGACGGTCTACCAGTGACGTGACGACAACCGTCGACTCTATCTGCACGCAAGACGACCAGGGCAGAAATATCCGCAAGGGAAAGGGGACTGGTTTTGAGTGACCGACACGGGGACCCAGTCATCCATACCACTTGGTACCGTAGAGACTGACGCTAATGACTCTCTCTAGTACGAATCGACTTGAAGTTTTGCCGGCATTCGCTCCCGCTAGAACGACACATCCACACATTCCTAAGCGAACAAGGACGGCTTGTGACACATCCCTCCCTAAAGCCTGCTGCGACCTCTTATTCCGTTCCAGAGCTATTTTCGCCCTCCAAATTTGCTACCACTCCCAGAAACATACGCAAGCCGGATAAACTATTCGCAAATCCAACGAGTTTGACATGATGCTTCGACAGTAGCGACGGGACCCTCGTGGAGTTGAGATGCAAAACATTAGAGTTGAAACAATCTGGAAAATAAACTCAACAAGATGCATATATCTTTCGCTCAAATATTCGCGCGCGGCTGGAGAATGGTAACTAGGTACCTGTGATCTTCCTGGCGCCAGGAAGAGCCAGGCGGCTAGCAGGCACATGACGGCAAAAGCTGCCGTCGTGCAAACGGTGTTAACGACTTCCGGGGACCATGGCCGTTTTCCCACTACGGTCGGCAACCGTGCAATTCGCGTGGTCCACGTCAACCTAACTGAATCGAACGGCTTCGCGACAAGAGACGCCATGAACAAAGTCCGGTCACGCTTCTTACTGGTTGTATCGCTACTAGGCTCAAGGCGTGCGCGACGCCTGCCGTTGAATTCTTTAGAAAACTGGAACATATCGGCTGCTTTAGTACGGAGAGGTAGGTAACTAATATGTCTGGTTCCCAGCAATCTAGGCTTTCGAAGCTACGGCTGTGGGTGTCGGAAGCCGTACAGAGACACCCGTGTCTGCCCTACAAACGAGCGTGCAACTACGAGGAGATCCTATTTTCTTGACTGCGGTTCGGACATCAGAATGCTGTCACCGAAAACGATCGTCTCGGTGGGACATGTACGTGGACGTATTCGGAGCAGTGGGAGGACATGGATGACACCGTACACCAGGGAGGAACAAACGGAGGGGGAAGGACAATGGGAGGAAGAATGTCTAGGGCGCGTCGGAGCTTAGTTGACGTCAGCGAGCGGTCAAGCAAGGCTCGAGGTTGCCCAGATAAACCTCGAGTTTTTCATGGCGACACGAAAATGAAGACAAACACACACTTGACAGGAGATCTCCAGACTCAAATTCCCACGAGGAAATGACGGAGCGCCCTGAGGCAAGGTGTTTAGGGTTGATGCCTCCCTAATGGCCAGCCATCCGAGTGGGTTTTATTTTTTTACACTGTCTACTAAACTGAAATCAGGTAGTCTTCATAAAATCCCTGGTCACAGGAAATTGGAAATGTCAGAAAAAACTGTCCCAAGGAATCGGACGCGAGCGCGAAGCGGGGTGGTGTCAAAACCACTGCCGAAAGGAATTGGAAACCAGAAAACAGGGCGCTCCGTCATTTCCTCAATTCCTACCCTCCAGAAGGAAAAAGGCATTCTAGCTGCAGCCTGCTCGGTTGGCATGCCACCATCCCAGGTTCCCCGTCCGCTAGATGGCCGCGCGTCACGCATCAACGTGACACGACGCGCCGGTTCCAGCACCCCAGGGACCATCGACTGTACAGTCGCCAGACATAACAGGCTTGGGGGACAGGTAAGGTAAGGGGACCCAGGCCAGGCGGTTTGGTTGGGGAAAAAGTTGCTGTGCAGAGTCGTTGGGTATGGGAGCGAGGAGATGTCGAGGGCCGAGGCGCTGCATTGTGACATTGAGATGAACGGTGGACATTTGGCCAAGGGAAATGTCCCAGCACAGAACTCGAGTCGCGGCAAGAAAACTTTATAGTAATAGTATATATTTTATTCTATCTATCTTGTGTCAGGGTGGCCGAGTGGTCTAAGGCGCCGCACTCAAGTTGCGGTCTCGAAAGAGGCACGGGTTCGAACCCCGTCCCTGACATCAGTTACACGTGTTTTTCCGCGCCCCACATTGGTACTGTAGTGACACCCGAGGTGACCTGCTCACGTCACCGTCGCCTAAAAGTTTGTCGCTCTGCGGTGCGATGCAAAGCATTATTTTTCTATCCCCAGCTCGTTGAAGCCAAATTACCGAAGTATAAAAAAACAGCAGGAAGCCTTTTATCGTAGGTAGATTTATCACTGCTGCGATCGCATCAGCCTCCAGATTTATCAGCTTCTCTGATCACATCTGGCGGAGTTTCTAGCTCTGTGGGTCCATGATTTCAGTTTCTTTTGCAGCTTATGCCGCGCGCCGGGTATTTATGCATCGACTAGACTAGACGATTCCGGCAACCTCTAGGCTGCTGGCAGCTTCGATTGTGAGCTAACTTCAGAGGCGGCAAACATATCGTCCCCTACGTCACAGTCTGCCAGAAGATTCAAAAGTAATGCTGGGAAGATTGTTCGCGCCTAGCGCAACCATTCCACCTCTTCTCGCTTGTTGCACGCGCCTAGACGGTTGCACGCACTTGTTGCGCGCTCCGTAGGCCACATCGTGAGCGCCGCTTCCAGCCAATGGCATCTTCCTTCCACGCGGCTGCTCGGTCGGCGCGCTTCGCCAACAACGCGCGCGCGGGCCAGCCAAGAGCGAGATCCGTTGCGAATCAGGCGACGACACTCCTCGTAGCCGCCTCTCGTAAGTCGGCAACTAAGTCGCCTGAAACTACATCTGAGACGTCTCAAACGGCGGGCCCGCCAAGCGCGAGATCCGGCGCGAATCCAGCCCTGAAACTCCTCGTAGCCTCTCGTAAGCCGCGTAGGACGTCTCTAAACCCTCGTAAGACGCCTAAGTCGCCTGAAGCGCAGCGGAGAACGCGGTGGCGCCTCGAGCCACAGCAGCAGCAGCAGCAGCTGCTGCTGCTGCTGCAGCAGCAGGGGGAGCAGCAACAACCGGGCGAGGGGGCTCTAGGTCAGAGCTCGCCCGAGCAGGGAATGAAGCCGCCGGTTCTGAAGCGCCTCGGACAAACGCAGCGGCAGAGGAGCGGGCAGCAGCAGTTTGAGCTGCGGATTCTCTCTGACAGACGAGTGAGCCGACAGATGTGTCATATGCATCCCATAGGTGTGGTGGGTTCCAGAGGTCTCGGATCGTCATTGCACCAGCGGCGAAGGAACGAGCAGCAGCATCTTGAGTTGCGGAGTTTTTCGGACAGACGAGTGAGCCGACAGATGTGTCATATGCATCCCATAGGTGTGGGCTCCGAAGTTCCCGCCTCGTCATCGCACTGTGTTGCGTGGGAGACGGAGGTACGGCAACCCACACACGAGGAGGAAACGCGGCGTCTGACGCGCGAGGAGGAGATTAAGTACACGCGGGCCGTGCAGGATCTGCTGAGATTAAGGAGGTCGCGAGAGCGGTGTGGCGCGGTTGAGTTGTGTTCGTTCTCGAATTTGCAGCACGTGGTCTTGTCTGCTGAGACAGCTTATGAGGAGACTAGGAAGGGGGAGGGGGAGAGGGAGGAGCGGGAGAGGGAGGGGAGGGGAAGGGAGGGGATGGAGAAGGAGGAGTGGGACATGGAGAGGAGGGGAAGGGAGGGGATGGGAAAACTACTGGATGCGAATGGTGGGATGGTGGTGGGTCTGGTGCGGAGATATGCGAGCAGGAGAGTGACTGTGGGGAGGGAGGAGTATGAGAAAGAGAAGAGGGGTAGGGAGGGTTTGGAGAAGCTGATGGGTGCGAATGGTGGGATGGTGGTGGGTCTGGCGCGGAGATATGCGAGCAGGAGAGTGACTGTGAGGAACTTGATCGTGGTAAGATGTGACTAAAACGAAGGGTGTTTACATTTGAGGGTGATTGAGGTGAGGAGTTGCATGTAAAGGGATGGGACGGTGGTTGGTCTGGTGCAGGGATACAGGAGGAGGAAGTGACTTTGAGAATGTTCATCACGGTTAGAGGTGACTATAGTGAAGATTCAGGTGAGGGTGTATTTTAGTGAGCAGCATGATACATATTTTATGGTCGATTTGTTTGCAGCGAGATGAGTTGTTAGGTGGGTTTATTGTTATTTGTGTTGTCGTTATTATTGTTCATCAGGTTTCTAGTCACTCTTTGACCCTAAAATATTTTCTGTTTTTATGTTGTATGCTTTGTCTTGTCGCTGCAACAGGCAGGATACGGGGGGCTTATAGAGGGGATAAAGAGATTCGATCCTGGCCGTGGATTCCGGCTCTCCACGTACTGCTATTGGTGGATCCGACACGCCATCATCCAATCAGCCGTGGACCAATCTTCCATAATCAAGCTCCCTGTGAGTGCCACGTGTCACATACATACACGTGGCACATACATACACGTGGGACATGCATACACGTGGCACATACATACATACTGGAACATGCACATGTCCTGGACCACATGCCATAATCCCTTCACATAACCATTTGGACGTCACTGATTCAATCCATGCCTTCCCATTGACACCTCAGCTTTTCACGTCATCTTCAACAAGGTTCCTGCCCCTCTCCCCCCATTCCATCCCGCGCTCTCCTTTGTTCTCCCCTTCACCAACTCACCCTCCCCAGATTTTCCAGCTTCCAATCCCCGTCCTCCTTCCTCCAGGCGCACTCGTACTGTCAGCAACATGCTCGCCCACCATCATCGATCCATTTCCCCATTTTCCCCTTTACCCCCGTTCTCCTCTTTTCCCTGTCTTGTTGCCCCCCTCCTTTCCATCGCTCTCTCTCCATTTGCCTGCCTTTCCCTCTTTGTCTTCTCATACTCCCACAATTTTCTCTCCATCCAATTCCCTGCTTCCAAGGCATACATGCACCGTCAGCACATGCTCGCCAGTCGGCGCCCCGCACCGCCATCCACGTCAGCACTGCCGTCCACGTCAGCACCACCGGTTGAGTCAAAGCAGAATCGCAGACTCACCCCGGGATCTGTGCGCTCGCCTCGGTCTTTGGAAGGGGACGTGGGGACAGGGGAGAGCCTTGGGGTGAGTGTTGCGAATGTGACTTTGAGTCAAGTCATAAGTCACTTTGGAAGGGGGCGCAGGGACAGGGGAGAGATCTGGGGTGAGTGCTTGAGACATGGGTCATGTTAATCGATTATACATGCGTGCTCCATAGCCTTGAGTTTACCATGTACCAGTACTATGCATTATGTTCCATGCACCATGCACAATGCACCACGCACCGTATACCATGTAACATGCACTTTGCACCATGCACCATGCTCGGTATACCATGTACCATGTGACATGCGTCATGCTTCCTGGTCTATATAATCCTGCCCCTGTAAAGCAAATTGCCCTTCTGCTTTCATGACTCACCGCCCAATTCATCCCGTTCAGCCCACCTTCCCCTCGTCCCCCCAACTTCCCCCACCTCACTCAACTCCCCCCATTGAACTCCCCACCATCCCCCTTCCCCCCCCTCCAGCCCACCATCCCTGATCCCGCTATAGAGTGCCCCGGGACTCGATATATGCAGCATGAGCTGCAGGGCGCATTGAAGCAAGCCATTCTCGGGCTCTCACACCAAGAGTGGCCGTAATCTCCCCCCAATCTCCCCCCCTCCCCCCAATCTCCCCCCCTCCCCCCAATCTCCCCCCCTCCCCCCAATCCCCCTCCTCCAGTCCACCATCCCCGACCCCGCTATTGAGTGCTCTGAGATTCGCTACATGCAGCAGGAGGTGCAGGGAGCGCTGAGGCAAGCCATTCTCGGGCTGTCACCCAAAGAGCGAGCCATCATTCAACTCAGATTTGGCCTGCCAGAATCTCTTCTGGAAGATTGCCGCCCGGCAAATTATCTCCTCAAAGGTTGCCGCCGGCCTGATCCTCTCCTCAAAGATTCGCTCCAGATGGATGGCTGCTCGGCCGATTGCAACTGTGGGGGCAATGGGCTTGGGGGCGGCGCCGGGCAGCAACAGGGGCGGCAAATTATCGTCGGTTGTGCAAAGCAGGAGGGGAGGCATAGTGAGATGAGGAAAACCATGCAGGAGGTGGGGGTGATGGTGGGGTTGACAGGAGGGCGGGTGCAGCAGATACAAACAGCAGGGTTGGGTAAGATGAGGAGGAGCATGACAGGTTGGGAAGGGTATGTGCATATGTGGGGGAATTGAGAGGGGTGCAGTGGGATGTGGAGTGAGGTGTGCAGTTGGTTTTTGCAGGGAGGTGTGCAGTGACATGAGTGCAAACATCGGATTATGCTGTTCATATATGATGGGCATAATTCAATATACACATTGTGTATATATTGTTGTGATCTTTAGAACATTTCACAGCTTGTGGAGGAGGTGGTCTAGCGGATTTCCCTTCACATTGTCTCAGGGATTTTGGGCTTGCCACCTACCAACCTCTCTTCTGATCTCAGATGTTCCTATCCCATCTATATGCTTTTTGTACCTACGTCTCTACAATGACAGGTCATTGGTCAACTCGATATTTCTGTCATACCTAGAAGTTGAATATACAGCAGAAATATTTCGAGTACACAAGGCCAACAGGACACTACTGCGTGCACACAGCAACTAGTTGTGAAAGACACGGACAATGGGAGGTTCTATTTACTAGGCCAAGGGTGGTTGAGAACTTGAGAAGCTGGGGGGGTGGATGGATGGAAGGAGTGATCTTCGGTGATAGAGTGTGGGTAACAGCGGGTGATAGGAGCGGGTGATGGGAGTGCGTGGGTGCTGCCAGGCATCTGTGCTGACAGGGTTGGTGGGTGCAGGGTAGGTGTGGGATGGGTGCGGGTGATAGGAGCAATGGTGGGCAAGTGGGATGCGCTCCAGGGATGGGTTTGCAGGTAGGATGTTGGGCAGTGGGATGGGTGTGGCTGATTGTGTGTGTGCTTGTGCCTGTGGCCCTACCTATTGCTTCTACTCCAGCTATGAGATACCGCGTCACCCATCCCCTCTTGAGCTTGTGCTAGTGCGCGTGGTGCTCCTTCTCGTGCGCATACAGCTCCTCCTTGTGTGCCTTGTCCGATGCAAACTCCTCAATCCAGACTTATGCTCTTTCTCCTTCTCCTTGTTGAAGCAGTCCCCTCCTCCCTCTAGTGCTTGTGCTCGTGCGCGTGGAGCTCTTTGTCATGCGCGTGCAGCTCCTCCTTATGTGCCTTGTCTGGTGCAAACTCCTCGATCCAGTCCAGCGTGATGCTCTTTCTCCTTCCCCTTGTTCATGCTTGTGCCCCCCCACCTCCCTCTAGTGCTTGTGCTCGTGCGCATACAGCTCCTCCTTACGTGCCTTGAGCGATGCAAACTCCTCAGATTCTCCTCTCTTCCAATGCTCCTTCTCCTCCCTGCTCTCCTTTGTGCCCCCCCTTTCCACATCTAGTGCTTGTGCTCGTGCGCGTGCTGCTCCTCCTTATGTGCCTTGTCCGAAGCAAACTCCTCGATCCAGTCCAGTGTGATGCTCTTGGGGCGTTCGATGGGGAAGCCCAGGGCGCGGTCCCACACAAGCTGCAGTGAGGGAGAGAGATGGAGGGGGGTACACGGGGGGGGGAGCAGGAAAGAAAGGGTGTTGGGATGGTGATTTAACTCCAGTCGAGCGTGTTGCTCTTGGGGCGCTCGATGAAGAAGCCCAGGGCGCGATCCCACACAAGCTGCAGTGAGGGAGAGAGATGGAGGGGGGTACACGGGGGGGGGGAGCAGGAAAGAAAGGGTGTTGGGACGGTGATTGAACTCCAGTCGAGCGTGTTGCTCTTGGGGCGTTCGATGAAGAAGCCCAGGGCGCAGTCCCACACAAGCTGCAGGTAGGGGAAAGAGAAGGAGGAATGCGAGCGGGTTAGAGATAGTGATGGAATGTGTGTGTCCAGAGGGCGATGCTCCTGGGGCGCTCGATGGGGAAGCCCAGAGCACAGTCCCACACGAGCTGCAGGTAGGGGAACGAGGAGGAAAGCGAGCGTGTTAGAGACAGCGATGGAATGTGTGTGTCCAGTCAGGGGTTATGCTCTTGGGGATGCTCGATGGGGAAACCCTAAAAATGGTCCCACACAAGCTGATTGGCCCAAAAAATGACTCGGTGTCATGCACTGTAGTCGAAATCATGATTTAAAATTAAAAAAAGATCGCTCTCTGGATACGGAAACCCAGGACACAGTCCCACATGAGTTGATCAAGTCATTGTAAGGGACTGAACAGTTTTGGAGGTCAGAAAGACGGCATGAATGATCCACCTGTGACTATACCTGGAGCTGCACCTGAGAGTAGGTAACTGTTTAAGGAAACCACCTGCGGGAGCACCTGAGAGCAACAGACCCACCTGAGAGCAACAGACCCACCTGAGAGCAACAGACCCACCTGAGAGCAACAGACCCACCTGAGAGCAACAGACCCACCTGAGAGCAACAGACCCACCTGAGAGCAACAGACCCACCTGAGAGCAACAGACCCACCTGAGAGCAACAGACCCACCTGAGAGAGCACTCCCATGGCTCGTGAGACACCGAAGAGAACGGTGTAGTAGCTGGAGGGAGGGGAGGGGGGAGGGAGATGCAGTAATGGGAGAGAGTGAGAGAGAGGAGAGAAGGTGACCATGAGTCACTAGCAAACAAGCTTGAGAGGCAGCAAAGAGCATCGTGCAGAGGGGAGCGAGAGTGTGGGGGAAAGAAGAGAGGAAGTGGAGAGAGACAAAAGGCGGAGAAGAAAACGTTACTTAGAAACGAATGCTCTGACGAGCAGGACTGATTTTGAGTCGACGTAAGGGCGTGTCCAGTTCGTTCATTTCGGGATTTTTCGTGCCAACGCACGTATCGAGGTTCAAAAGTGACTACCGTACCTAGAAACGAATGCATTGTGAGTGGAGTCCAACCATCCTGTAATTTCAGAAGCGCGGACACATTCCCCGCCACACGAATCAACAGTTCTCTGACCACGTTGAAAACGAGGTAACAGTTTCCCTCGTCAATCATAGCTTGAAAATTTTTGTGCAGGCGCAGGGGGCGCTGGCGAGTAGAGCGAACCACTGACGAAATCGTGCAAGCGATACAAGGGAAACGAACTGTAGTGGCCAGGACGCGGTGCTGTACCCTTGTTCGCGTCCCTGCTGATTCCAGTAACGTGAGTCAGACGACTCTAGGTACGTGCATGGGGGGTGTCCTCTTGCGAACAGAAGCTGATTGTGTCCGCTGGACATGTTCAATAAAGGGTTACCACAAAAAATGTGGTAACTGAGGGGGTTTACGAACAGTAAATGTACGAGCTGGACCCCCCCTAAAGTCAGGCGGAGAAGAAAAGGTTCCTTAGAGACGGATGCTCTGACGAGCAGGACTGAGCAGTGTGCACGGTGGACAGGGGGGCGCTGCACTAGAGAACAAATGCAGCCACCCACCTGGCCTCGGTGAGCCCGTAGTGCTGCAGCAGCACGCCGCTGTGCGCGTCCACGTTGGGCCAGGGGTTCTTGACCTTGCCGGTCTCGAGGAGAATATGCGGCACCACCTCGTAGAGGTTGGATACCTGCAGCAGAGGGAGGAGGGGATGGGGTGGAATAAGGGAGGAACGGAGATTAAGGGAGTGCACGTTGTGCCAGGGGTTCTTTGCCTTGGCCGTCTCGAGGAGAATATGGGGCACCACCTTGTAGAGGTTGGATACCTGAGGGAGGGAGGGGGAAATTTGGTGCAGAAGGAGACAATGAGCAGGAGAATCAGTGGTAACGGCGCTGTGAGGGGGCGCTGTGAGGGGGCGCTGTGAGGGGGCGCTGTGAGGGGGCGCTGTGAGGGGGCGCTGTGAGGGGGCGCTGTGAGGGGGCGCTGTGAGGGGGCGCTGTGAGGGGGCGCTGTGAGGGGGCGCTGTGAGGGGGCGCTGTGAGGGGGCGCTGTGAGGGGGCGCTGTGAGGGGGCGCTGTGAGGGGGCGCTTGAGGGCGAACTGGGCTGGAATTGATCATCCTCAGCACGGCATGTCCATAGCCTGGCACCACCTTGGGAACACCAAATAAAAGACAGCTTGAAGGTGGGGTCGTGCGGCAGGTGCTTGAGCGCGAACTGGCGCTGGCAGCTGTAGCGGGGGTCGGTCAACCTCAGCACTGCGTGACCTTGGCCGGCACCACCTTGCTGCTCTGCAGCATGCGGCCATACCCCGGCACCACCTTGGGAATTACTCACCAGCTTGAAGGTGGGGTTGTGAGGCAGGTGCTTGAGCGCGAACTGGCGCTGGCAGCTGTAGCGCGGATCTGCCACCCTCAGCACAGTGTGGCCATACCCCGGCACCACCTTGGGAACTCCTAATAGAAGAATTAGACACTCACCAGCTTGAACGTGGGATTGTGAGGGAGGTGCTTGAGAGCAAACTGGCGCTGGCAGCTGTAGTGTGGGTCGGTCACCCTCAGCACAGCATAGCCACACCCCGGCACCACCTTGGGAACTCCTAGAACATCAACCACTCACCAGCTTGAACGTGGGGTCGTGAGGGAGGTGCTTGAGAGCAAACTGGCGCTGGCAGCTGTAGCGGGGATCGGTGACCCTCAGCACAGCATGGCCGTAGCCCGGCACCACCTTGCCGCTCTGCAGCGTGCGCCACACGAAGTCCCTCAGCTCGTCCTTGCCTGCTTCCTCCCCAACGTCCGCCTTGACTTCTTCCAACCACCGCAGCACCTCCTGTGGTGGGGGATAGGGGAAGAGACAGAGACAGAGACAGAGACGGGAAGAGGGTGGCACGTGAGAGAGTCTACTCATCTCCTTGCCGCTCTGCAGCGTGCGCCACATCAATTCCCTTGCTTCGTCCTTGCCTGCCTCCTGCCCCACGTCCGCCTTGACTTCTTCCAGCCGCCGAAGCGCTTCCTATGGTGGGGAAAGATTGGGGCGCAGAGGGTGAAGAGGAGGCGGAAAGCAGAATAAGGGAGGGAGAAGCAGGGGACAGAGGGGGTGAGGTTAGGGTGGGAGGTGTAGACGAGGAATATTTGCAACCCAAGTGCTGCTGCTGGACCTAGGCTCTTCTATTGCAATGAACCGTTTCAAACCGCTCTGAACCAATTCATTTATGAGAAGGGCGGGTTGGAAGAGCACTGGTGACTTGCCTGATTGGCGAGGCCGTGCAGAGGACCCGCGAGACCGTTGAGGCCAGCCGCAAAGGAGAGGTAGGGGTCGGAGAGGGCGCTGCCCACCTGTTGGGGAGGGGGGGACGCCCAAGAAAAGAGAGAAAAGGGACGAGGAGGAAGGGGCGTTGATGCCAGCCGCAAAGGAGAGGTAAGGGTCTGACAGGGCGCTGCCCACATGTTGGGATGGGAAGCAACGCGGGGAGGAGATGGGGAGAGAAAAGGGTTGAGGAGGAGATAGAGAGGAGGAGAGAGTTGGGGAGAAGGGGAAAAAGATGAGGAGTTGAGAGGTGGGGATGGAGGGAAAATGATGGGGGGGGAGAGGTAGGGTTGTGGTTTTTCCGTGGTTGAGTGTGATGATGAGGAGTTGGGGGGAGGGGAAGTGGGCTTTACAGTTGAGGGGGGGGGGGGGGGGGGGGGGGGGAAGCGAGAGGGGGGCGAGGGGAGAAGGGGGCGAGTGGGGAGAGGGGGGCGAGTGGGGAGAGGGGGACGAACAGGGAGAGGGTTGCAAGCAGGGAGAAGGGGGCAAGTGGACGAGACGGTGGAAATGCGACTAGAAGAAGCGGGCGAATGGGCAAGACAAGGAAGATGGAAATAACAGTCGCTCTCACCAGGTGGGTGGCGTGTGCGCTGACGTTGCCTCCCTCGTGATCCCTGCTTGCAAGCAGTCGCACACACGCGCAGGGGCACACACACGAACGGACATACACACACATGAACATGAACACACGCAAACGTGCACGCACACAAGTGCATGCATGCACACACCCGGACACATACACGCATGCACACAAAGACACACAGAAGCAAGGAGCACACGCATTAAATTATAAACGCACAAGGAGGGATCATGTGGATGTGAACCCGTGCAAGGAGGGCGCAGAGCAAGGGATCTATGTTGGAGGCATGTTCTAGAATTCTCAAAAATTACTCCCAAGGAACCTGGCAGGTGAAAGTCTACGGTTCAGAATAGTGCAGGGCTCATGCGTGGATATGGTGAGGTAGAGGCGCATGAGATCATGGAACTGCGGGTCGTTGAACCCCAGCATACGTCAATTGGTCAGCCTTAAACCCCAAACCTTGACCTGAAACCCAAAGGTCAAGAGTTGAGAGGGTGGAAGGGCTCACGCGTGGATGGTAAGGTAGAGGCGCATGAGGTCGTGGAACTGGGGGTCGTTAAATCCTAGCATGTGTGCGAAGTTGGCGGCGTAGTCGAGCTTCTCATTGGGCGGGATGATCTTGCCGTCCTTGAACGTGTGCCTGTAGATGTGGGCTGCCACCTGGTGGGGTTTAGGGGTTTTGGGGTTGGGGGAGTTGCAATGCAGCGAGGTGAATGGGAAGAGTTAGCGGAGGAGTCAGGTCGAGCTTCTCATTGGCAGAATGATCTTGCCGTCCTTGAACGTGTGCCTGTAGATGTGGGCTGCCACCTGGTGGGGTTTAGGGGTTTCGGGGTTGGGGGAGTTGCAATGCAGCGAGGTGAATGGGAAGAGTTAGCGGAGGAGTCAGGTCGAGCTTCTCATTGGCAGAATGATCTTGCCGTCCTTGAACGTGTGCCTGTAGATGTGCGCTGCCACCTGTTGGGGTCAAGGAGAGATGTGGAGCGGGGTTAAGAGAGAAATGACTGCTTTTTCTGATCTGCGGCAGCGTAGCAATGGGATCCAAGGCATCTTTAAAAGCGAGGTGCCAGTACTTGCTCTTGGGCATGCCCTCGTGCTACCTTGGTATAGAAACGCACTCAAGTGTTACCGTGGAGTGCCAGCAACTGAACTGGGGCAGCGTAGCAATTAGATCCAAGGGGTCCTCATAAGCCAGGTGCCAGTACTTGCTCTTGGGCATGCCCTCGTGGTACCTTGGTATAGAAACGCACTCAAGTGTTACCGTGGAGTGCCAGCAACTGACCTGGGGCAGCGTAGCAATGAGATCCAAGGCGTCCTCATAAGCCAGGTGCCAGTACTTGCTCTTTGGCATGCCCTCGTGGTACGCACGTGCGAAGCGGCTGCCCTTCTGCAGAGCCATCACACCGATGGACAGCTGCGTCATGGGGTGCATGTCGCGGGGCAGGGCGTTCAGCACCGTGTGCACGTACTCTGAAAGGGGGAAGGTTTGGGGAATACAGAGGGAAGGGTCAAGTTGGGTGAGGAGCCATCACGCCGATGGACAGCTGCGTCATGGGGTGCATGTCTCGGGGGAGGGCGTTCAGCACCGTGTGCATGCACTCTGATAGGGACAAATGGCAGTGGTTTGGAAGGGCGAGGGGGAGAGGGAAGGGCTATGAGAGAACAGCCATCACATCAATAGACAGCTGCGTCATGGGGTGCATGTCGCGGGGCAGGGCGCTCAGCACCGTGTGCACGTACTCTGAAGGGGTGTGCAGGGGGTGGAGGAGTGGGAGAGAGGAAGGGTTGTTTGGAAACAGCCATCACACCGATGGACAGCTGCGTCATGGGGTGCATGTCTCGGGGCAGGGCGCTCAGCACCGTGTGCACGCACTCTGATGGGAGCAATGGTGCAGTGGAGTGGAATGGGGGGGGGGGGCGAGGGGGAGAAGGGAAGGGATATGTGTGAAGAGGCACCGGGCCGATGGACGGCTGCATCATGGGGTGCATGTCGCGAGGCAGGGCGTTGAGCACTGTGAGCACTGTGTGCACGTACTTTGGTGGTTGGTGGTGTTCAAGGGAGGTGGGAGGAGGGAGGGAAGGAGGGATGATAAGCTACCAAGTCAACATTCTCCCACACCCCCTCCAAACGAATAGGGGATCGTTCATACACCCACAACCCATACGACACGTATCAGGCAACTTCTTACCCACGCCCCCTGCCAGATGTATCGGACAACTTAAACCCACGCCCCCTGCTCAACATACCAGGCATCTTGGCTCGCTCGTGCAGCTCATGCGTCACTGTGGCCGCCTGCTCTCTGGTGGGCACCTGTGTTGGGGACGAGGTGACAGGGCACACAGCGGACAGGAAGAGGGTGAAGAATCTGGAGCGATGAGAGCGTTTTTAAGTGAGGGAGTACGTGCGTGCTTGTGCTCGGGCGTGTGTGTTAGTGTGTGTGTGTGTGTGTGTGTGTGTGTGTGTGTGTGTGTGTGTGTGTGTGTGTGTGTGTGTGTGTGTGTGTGTGTGTGTGTGTGTGTGTGTGTGTGTGCTTGTGCATGCGGGAGCAGCGTACCTCGCCGGTGAGCAGCAGCCAGAGCAGCCCCTCGGGCATGGGCTCGCCGTCCATCACGGTTACAAGCAGCAAGAGTTGGCTTTTGAAAAATAGGCGAGAGTTTGTCTACATGTGTGTGTGAAATGTTGCAGTCGGTCTATGTGTGTGTGTGCGACTGCGCACGCACAGAAACCCCCACTGCACACCTCGCTGGTGAGCAGCAGCCCCTCAGGCATGGGCTCGCCATCTATCACGGCTTTTGAGTCGACTCAAAAGCAGGCATGGGCTCGCCATCTATCACGGCTAAAGCAGTCAGCGCTGGCTCTGGTGATAGGCGAAGTTTGTCTGACTGTGCGTGTGTGGTGAGCAGACACTCTTGTTAGCGCGTGTGCGATCTACCGTTCACTCACTCATGCATAACGGCCCCCCCTCTGCGTACCTCGCCGGTGAGCAGCAGCCAGAGCAGCCCCTCGGGCTGGGCTCGCCGTCTATCACGGCCTTGGGTAGCAGAAGATGGCACTGGGAGAAAGGCGCGCGTGTGCGATATGCTACAGTCTGACAATGTGCGTGTGTGCGGATGCGCACACGCACAGCTCCCCCCCTCTGCGTACCTCGCCGGTGAGCAGCAGCCAGAGCAGCCCCTCGGGCATGGGCTCGCCGTCTATCACGGCCTTGGGCAGCAGGTGCTGGCACTCGGGGATGCTGTACCCGCGGAACTTGATGCCCTGGGGAAGGGAAGGGAGGAAACAGAAGATGAGCGCGCGGAAGTGGGGAAGGAAACGAGGGCGACGAGGAGGGGGGAGGCAATGGTGGGCGCATTCACGCGATTACTGCGTTCTTCATGCTGGGAGAGGCACTCGAAATATGCAGCTGTTGTGCATCGGTACGGGGTCGACTTGTGCTCTGCAATCCATGCATTTCCTACATAACTGCTCCGGGTCGAGCTGTTCTTTAGAGTGACTCAGGCTAACCAGTGCAATCCATGCACTTGCTACATAACTGCTCGATGCTACATACCTGCTCGGGGTCGAGCTGTGACGTCTCCCACACCAACCCCTTCACCCCTCGCATTCCTCCGATCGCCTGCTCGCACAAATCACCAAAAATACGGAAATCAGGAACGAAGATGAGCAACACAACCACGTGTGCGTATTTGTTTTGAGACATCTCAAAACCAATCGCACAAATCACCAAGAATAGGACGGAAATCAGGAACGAAGATAAGCAATATACAACCACGTGTGCGTAGCCTCCCGGCTTGAGCGCAGCTTCGCTCGTAGAAAGCATAGTGATGAGATAGCTGCGACACGTTTGTCAGATCAAAGCGGTAATCCGACGACGAGACTGAGGGGGCGAGGGAGAAAGGGAGAGAGCGCGGCTCACCATGTTGACGGTGACCTTGCCCATGGACAGGTTGCCGTAGTGCGATGTGGTGTGATGGGATGTGGTGTGATGTGATTGTGATGGGATGTGGTGTGATGTGATGCGTGCAGATTACCTCACGATCAACAAGAGCGGCTCACCATGTTGACGGTGACCTTGCCCATGGACAGGTTGCCGTAGTGCGACTTGATCTGCCGAATGCGCTCCTGCTGCTGCGGAACCACCTCCTGCAGCTTCGCGTGCAGCTCCTGAAACGCACACGGCGGAAGAACGGGAGGATGGAACGGGTGCGAGAACGCAAAGCATTTCAGATGTTTAGCGGAGTCTGCCCTTGGGCAGCGTCGATTTGTACGCCAGACGTGTAGTGGAGAGCGGAACGGTTTACTTTAAGATTAGTCATGGCAGGGATCAGGTATGGAAGGGATCAGGCATTGAAAGGACCACGAATGGGAAGATGAGGCTTGGCACGGTCAGGCATAGAAGGGATCAGGCATGGAAAGGATAAGGAATGAAAGAAGGCATAGAAGGGATCAGGCACGGAAAGGAAAAGGAATGAAAGAAGGCATAGAAGGGATCAGGCATGGAAAGGATAAGGAATGAAAGAAGGCATAGAAGGGATCAGGCATGGAAAGGATAAGGAATGAAAGAAGGCATAGAAGGGATCAGGCATGGAAAGGATACGGAATGAAAGAAGGAATAGAAGGGATCAGGCATGGAAGAGATCAGGCGGATGCGTGGACCGCGACGAAAATCCGTACATTCAGCATTTTCTAAAATCTCATCCGATACTTGCTGTCGCTTACCGTGGTCAATGGGCGAAATGCCTGATTAAAGAGGCGCGAGAAACTCCCATCCTTCTGGCTCTGACATCAGGAAAGTAGCATTATTGGCTTAGCATGTGATATCGCACGGAAAGTATGAAACACGACAGACAGCTCACATTGTAAGCACATATTAAGCAAACGATCTTCTAGTTCTAGTGTTCTGCCTGCACAGAGTAAGCATGACGACGCAAATACCCACCCTCTTCACGGCGTTTGCTGCCCGAAATAGACTCCGCGAGAACGCCATGGCTGTCAGGCAAGCCGGGAAATGGACCAGCGAACACAAGAGACACAGTCACTCGGGTTTGCACCCAGCTGCTACGCTCTCTCTGAATATCAGAACGTCTACAAATACCCAGGACCTGATTCCTGATGAATCCTGGAATATTTGGCTCGGCTGTAACTTCCACCAGCTCTGATGAAAGTATGAAGCCAGACCAGATGTGTCTGTTGCAGTGTCCTTGTTAATTCTGCACTGTGCCCCCCGGTATAAGAACAATTGCCTGGTAGAGTTTCTCGCCGGGCAAGCTGCAGCAATATTGTCACCACGTGGCACGTTTTGGTTGCTTGAAAGGCCGGAACTTGTTTAGGTCAAATCGGGTTCTTTGGGTACCACGTGGGACAGCGGTGGCTGTCATTCCCATGATTGGTCAATAGACCTCGAGAATACATTACAGCTCACCAGGGAGTCTCAATAGTAGGCGCAGCTCTTCGTACGTGATTGGTTACGATTTGACTGGCCCCGTTTTTCTGTGGCATTTCTGAAACAATCACACATTCTTCTGACTTATGTAAGGAGGGTAGTGTTCGGACCATATTACACGTTTTTCTGTCAACAAAATAAATCATCCATTATGCGTACAATCATTTGCAAAAGCAAGCCTCATCACATGGCACAACACAGGGGCGTGTCATAGAGTTTGCTTTTCTTCGAGCGCTGCCCAATGCTCTCTATGAAGCAAACCAATCGCTTATGCTACAACTTAGTAGCGACCCTTTGCCTTGTTGGCCTGAGTGGGTTGAATAGGGCAGACGGCATGCAAAGAGTGACATATTATTAACAGATGGAACCATCTCCAAGAAAGAACAGCAGCAAAGAAAACCGGGCTACTTACGGAGACGCGTGTGAGCCTCTTGCCAGTCCCGCGAGGCCGATTTCTGGGCTCCTTGAGGCGGTAAATGCGGACCATCCAGTGCTGCGACGTGAACACCTGAAACAAAATAACAGGATTCATAAACCATAAGCCCATATCTGCGACATGGAAGTTTCTAAACATCAGTCAGACGCAAATGCGGCTTGGGGGACGGAGACAAAGTGCGGCTATAAGAACACACGAAACGTCATGGACTCAATTTCTTCCTGCCTTGATTTCATCACTTGACCATTCAAAGCAGCAGCCACCTAGCATTCGCTGCACACAGATTGCGAGAGGCAACAACTCCACCAACCTGAAGCCTCTGACCGCCTCAACGTGCGTCATGTTGTTGTTCTGTTCTTGCCTTCCCCATACGCCCTCTGAGTTGCACAGGCTGAGCAGCTGAGCATGCGTACATATTATTCCAAATCCAAGGAGAAAGAAAATGAAACCTTTAACCTCACCTCCTCAAAGTGAGTGAGCTTGATGTTCTTCTTGCCTATCTCCGTGCGCCTCACCCGGTCAAAGCCCCTCCCGTCCACCTCTGCGAACCTGCCAGCACAGCACAGCAAGGAGGACAGCACACACCAATATATGGCACACACAAACATAGTTGGAGAGCTTGTACTAACGAGTGATACTATGTCGAGTACGTGCCTTACCTGTAGTAAAAAGGCTTGTACATGAGGCGGTTGAGCATGTTGGTGGTGAGCAGTTAATAGAGCTTGTACAAACGAGTGAGGTTATATTGAGTACGTGTCTCACCTGTAGTAGGAGAGCTTGTACATGAGGCAGTTGAGCATGGTGCTGGTGGCCTCTCCATCCACCCGGTAGTTGCCGTTGTTCTGGTGGGCGGGGGTGATGGTGGGGGACAGAGGAATGGATGGGAGGAAGAGGGAGGGGGAGGACGGGGGCACTTGTGACGCGTGAGGAATCTCAAGGCATGGTGCTGGTGGCCTCACCATCCACCCGGTAGTAGCCGTTGTTCTGGCGGGGGGGGGGGGGGGGGGGGGGGGGGGGTGATGGTGGGGGACAGAGGGAGAGGGGGGAAGAAGGGGGTGGGGGCGACGAGGGCACGTTTGAAGGTGCCTCAAGGCATGGTGCTGGTGGCCTCTGCATCCACTCAGTAGTTGCTGCCATTATTCTGACCGGGGGAGTGGGGGAGAGGGGAAAGGAAGGGAGAATGGGAGGAACATGGGGCGGACGAAGGAGATTTTGAGGTGCCTCAAGGCATGGTTTTTTTTTTTTTTTTTTTGGCTTGCCCGGCTTCGCCGGAACCCTAGTGTAAGCAGGCTTCCGCCGTCCGCACTAGGTAGCCCCGAAGAGAATCATGCCCTATGAAGCAAAGCCCTCAGGGTAGATGCCTCAATTTTGAGGTGCCTCAATTTTGAGGTGCCTCGAGGCATGGTGCCTCAAGGCATGGTGCTGGTGGCCTCTGCATCCACTCTAACATGTAACCACGTTCAAAGACTCTCAAAAGCCATCTCCCTGTGCACTCACCAGGTAGTCAGGCTCCCTGATCCGCGGAAACACCCCGCCTCCGATCCGCACCATCCAGAGGAACTTGTTGATATCGTCGCTGGGATAGCCCACCATGCCTGTGGGGTAGGGGGACAGGCATGGTGGTTGGCAGAAGAGAGCGCAGAGAGGGGGGAATGTTGTGAGTGGTGCAGGTGTTGCGATGCACACCATCCAGAGGAACTTGTTGATGTCGTCGCTGGGGTACCCCACCATGCCTGTGAGACACAGGAGGTGGAAGAGCAAAAGAAGGGGAAGCGGGGGGGCGAGCAGGCGGGATGGTTCATGTGTTGCAATCCGCACCATCCAGAGGAACTTGTTGATGTCGTCACAGGGATACAGGGATAGCCCACCATGCCTTAGTCTGTAGAGAGGCGAACGGAAGGGATGGGTCAGAGAGGGACAACAGTGCAGATCAGATTGTTATCTGGCTGTTGATCCGCACCGTCCAGAGGAAGTGGCCTACGAGGTATTAGCGAGTGAAGAATGAGGAGATTAGGAGGGGAAGGGGAGAAGGGAGCACACAGGTGGTAATGCCCCTGGTGGCAATGCGGGTGTTCTTCCACGTGTTGTGACAACGCTCCCAACACCACAAAGCTCACCTCTCAACACATAACAGCGCATCCTTTACCCAACACTCTCTCACAATACGTGCTTGCCACAGCCGACCTACCTCCGAACACCACGAAGACGTATTTGACGTCGATGGATCAATAGATCGCCCAGGCGTCCTTCTCCCGGGATGACATGGCCATGCCCACCGCGGCAATGTGCGTGTTGATCCACGTGTTTGAACTTTAATGTGTGCATATGCCGATGCCGACCTACCTCCGAACACCACGAACACATATTTCACGTCGATGGATCGATAGATCGCCCAGGCGTCCTTCTCCCTTGATGACATGGCCATGCCCACAGTGGCGATGTGCATGTTGTTCCACGTGTTTGAACTCTCACGCGTGTGTACCCCATCGCCGACCTACCCCCGAACACCAAGAAGACGTATTTCACATCGATGGAGCGGGAGATGGCCCAGGCCTCCTTCTCCCGTGACGACATGGCCATAGTGGCGATGTGTGTGTTGTTCCAACATGCCCAATATGACTTTTGAGGCGCCTCAAAAGATGTGCGTGTTGTTCCAACATGCCCAATATGCCTTTGACATAGGCCTATGCCTATCCCATTCCCAACGTACCTCCAAACACCACAAACACATATTTGACGTCGATGGAGCGATAAATCGCCCACGCGTCCTTCTCCCTGGATGACATGGCCATGCCCACAGTGGCGATGTGCGTGTTGTTCCACGTGTTGTTATCAACAATGACTGTGCGGTTCGCCATGGCTGTTGTCTGGTAACCATAATCCCACCAGGACGCCACCTGGTGGGGGTGATTATGCCATGAGGAGCGCATGTGGGGAAGGGAGGGGAAGGGAAGGCCAACAGTGGCGATGTGAGTGTTGTTGTCCACGATCACCGTGCGGTTCACCATAGCGGTTGTCTGGTACCCATAGTCCCACCACGATGCCACCTGGTGGGGATGAGTATGCCACGAGGAGGGCATGTGGGGAAGGAAGGGGAAGGGAAGGCCAACAGTGGCGACGTGAGTGTTGTTCCACGTGTTGTCCACGATCACCGTGCGGTTCGCCATGGCTGTTGTCTGATACCCATAGTCCCACCACGATGCCACCTGGTAGGGTGTGGGCACATGGAAAAGGGAGGGCGTGTGGGAATGGAGAGCATGTGGTAAAGTGAGTGTTGTTCCACGTGTTGTTGTCCACGATCACTGTGCGGTTCGCCATTGCGGTCGTCTGATACCCATAGTCCCACCACGATGCCACCTGATGGGGGGGGATATGACATGAGGCGAGGGACGGCTTGCAGCGATGTGAGTTGTTCCATGTGTTGTTATCGACAATCACCGTGCAATTCGCCATGGCTGTTATCTGATACCCCTAGTCCCACCATGATGCCACCTGGTAGGGGGGTATAGCATGGGGGAAGAGAAAGGCGTGTGAGAAGGGGAGGGAGAGAAGCGAAGAGGGGCATGTGGGGAAGGGAGGGTGTGTGGGGTAGTGCTATGAGTGGTACACACAAACAAGAATGAATAACCCACCTTGTCAATGACATCTGTGTTGTGTCTCAGCCAACCATATGCCTCACGGAAGTCATCAAAGATGTACTGCCCTCCGTCGTTAATGGCAGTGCTGGCAGTGCTGGCACTAGTTCGAAGCAGTGCTACTGACGGTACACACACACAACAACAGATGTTGGTGGGGTGGGAGGGGACCCACCTTGTCGTTAACGTCCGTGTTGTGGCGCAGCCACCCATACGCTTCACGAAAGTCATCAAAAATGTACTGCCCTCCATCTTGGGTGGGCGAGGAGAGCACAATAGATGGCGCTGAGTACGCGTCTGCTGCTGCCCACACACAGTGCATCTGGTGGGGGGTTAGGCAGAGTAGAAGAGCCGGGGATGGATGGGTGAACGTATATGGGCTGCTCATGAAAGATATACTGTCCGCCGTCTTGGGTGGGAGAGGAGAGCACGATGAATAGGGCTGAGTTGGCATCTGCTGCAGCCCACACAGAGTGCATCTGAGGGGCGATGTGGGGATGGAAGAGAGAGACACAGTGAAATTTCACGGACGGAGGTTGCTCACGCGTCTGTTACAGCCCACACAAAGTGCATCTGAAAGGAGGGAAGCAGGAGGGAAGACCCTTTGCACCACCAATGACCCTACAGGCATCTTATGCCATCACTGCAGGGAGTTTTTGAGAATTCTCAAAAACTCCCTGCTTCGCACCACCAATGACCCTACAGGCATATTCTGCCATCACTGACACATGAATCTGCTGCCTGCTACTCGAAAGAAACGGCTGATGAAGTTGAATCCACATTGCTCGATGCTTGCTCACGGTGTAAAAAGCAAGCCCAACGAGCATGAGAATAATGCCCACCGCTGCCGAATCCCCCTGGCACCTCCAGAGGGAACTTCCCCTTCCTCACTGTGTCAAATACAAGGCCACTGTTGAAACGGAAACACCTCTGAACTCACGGTGTAAAAGGCAAGGCCGACGAGCATGAGAATGATGCCCACCGCTGCCGCATCGCCGGGCACCACCAACGGAAACTTCCCCTTCGCCTTTTCCTTCTCCTTCCCCCCCTCCTTCCCCCACTTCCCCTTCCCCTTCCCCTTCACCCCCTTCTTCTTTTCAGCGGCCCCAGCCCTGGCTGCAGGTTCCTCGTCAGACTCCCCCCCCCTCCCCCTCGCCCTCCTTGCCCTTCTTCTTCTTCCCCGCTCCCCCCTTGCGCTCCTTGGCCTGGCTCGCCTCGGCAGTGTTGCTGGCGGCCTGAGGCAGTGGCAAGAGGGTGGATAGAGACAAAGGGGTTAATGAGATCAACAAGCCCCCCCCCCCCCCCCCCCCCCCCCCCCCCCCCCCCCCCCTGCAGCCTCCTCGTCTGACTCCCCCTCCTCCCCCCCCCCCCTCGCCCTGTTTGGCCTTCTTCTTCCCCGCTCCTGCCTTGCGCTCCTTGGCCTGGCTCGATTCAACAGTCTTGCTGGCGGCCTGTGGCAGGGACAAGGGTTGAAAGGACCAAAACTTTCAAAGAGATTGGTGGGTGGGTCAATGGGGTCAATGCCTTCCTACCCTCACCATCGCCCTCCTTGCCCTCCTCCCCCCTGCTGACTTGCTCAAGGTATGTGGCATGAAATTTTGGCTGAATAAGGTCTCATCAAGTCAACAAGGTAAAAAAGGTGAGTGAGGCCTGTTTTTCACCTCAGCGGCAGAGGCGGAAGAGGCGGAAGAGGCGGAAGAGGCGGAAGCTGTCTCCTCCTCCCGCTTGTCCTGCTTGGCAGCGGCGTACGCCAGATCGATGAGGTCAGCAATAGAAGCCTTGACGGAGCAGCTCACCTCATAACCGAACCTCACATGCCAACAAACATACCCTATTCCTCTCTCTCACCTCAGCAGCAGCGGCACTAGCAGCATTGTCCTCCTTGTCGCCCTTGTCCTGCTTGGCAGCAGCATACGCCAGGTCGATAAGCTCGGCAATAGAGGCCTTGACAGAGCAGCCCACCTGCCCCTCCCTCTCACCTCAGCAGCAGCAGCAGTCGTCTCGTCCTTCTCGCTCTTGTCCTGCTTGGCAGCAGCATACGCCAGGTCGATAAGCTCGGCAATAGAGGCCTTGACAGAGCAGCCCACCTGCCCCTCCCTCTCACCTCAGCAGCAGCAGCAGTCGTCTCGTCCTTCTCGCTCTTGTCCTGCTTGGCAGCAGCATACGCCAGGTCGATAAGCTCGGCAATAGAGGCCTTGACAGAGCAGCCCACCTGCCCCCCCCTCTCACCTCAGCAGCAGCAGCAGTCGTCTCGTCCTTCTCGCTCTTGTCCTGCTTGGCAGCAGCATACGCCAGGTCGATAAGCTCGGCAATAGAGGCCTTGACGGAGCGAGTGAGCACGTCAAAGAGAGCGCTCACTGCGATGCCCGCCGTGATGCACGCTGCTGGCGCCAGCACCAGCATCAGACGGACCTGAAAGGAGGAAATGTGGAAGTGGGAGAGAGACAGAGAGAGAAGCAAGGGAGCGAGGGGTGAAAGGACAGAGGGAGTGAGGACGTCAAAGAGGGCGCTGATTAAGATGCCCGCTGTGATGCACGCTGCTGGCGCCAGCACCAGCATCAGACGCACCTGAAGGAGGAAATGTGGAAGTGGGAGAGAGACAGAGAGAGGAGCAAGGGAGCGAGGGGTGAAAGGACAGAGGGAGTGAGGACGACAAAGAGGGCGCTGATTAAGATGCCCGCTGCGATGCACGCTGCTGGCGCCAGCACCAGCATCAGACGCACCTGGGGGTAAGGGGAGAGAGAATGGGAGATGACGAGCAAACATAGAGTGAGAGAGGAAGGGAGGAAGGGAGTGGGGAAAGGCCTTGACGTTGCAGTCAAAGCTGAGCATTCACTGCAACGCCTGCCTGCCCGCTCTGACATGCACAAGTCATTGACTCACAAATTTAACCACCTTGATTCCATCCATTCACCGCGAGGCAACTGCATTGACTCACCCACAAATTCATGCAGCCAGCCATGACCCCATTGACTCACCATGACTCCGGAGAAGTACACGGAGACGACAAGGTAGAGTTGTTGCATTGACTCCATTGACTCCCAGACCATTGACCCCATTGACTCCCAGACCATTGATCCCATTGACTCACCATGACTCCAGAGAAGTAAACAGAGACGACAAGATAGAGGGCCACAAAGGAGCTTGCGTCTGTGAGCGGCAGGAAGCACGCCTGCAGGAACAAAGGGGTTGGGTTAGGGAAAAACAATCAGTTTTGAAATAGAGTTGACACAGGGACGACGAGGTAGAGGGCCACAAAGGAGCTGGCGTCTGTGAGCGGCAGGAAGCATGCCTGCAGGAACGAGGGGGTCGGGTTCAGGGATGAATGATCAGGTTATGGAATCCGGGTTCAGGGTTTGCACAGGGACGACAAGGTAAAGGGCCACAAAGGAACTCGCATCTTGACAAAGGGGTTGGTGTTCGTGAGGGACAAGAAGCACACCTGCAGCAAGGAGAGGCAAAGAGGGGCAGGCGGGTTTGAAATCCGGGGGTTGGGAACCAAGCCAAGACGCTGCAGCTGCAGTGCTCGCTGGAGGGTGAAAAGAAGGTCAGAAGCTGCTGTGCTTACAAACGTTTGTGCTTACAAAGGGCGGGGAATGCGGGGAGCTGCAGGTCCATGAAGTAGGACGTCTACATGGGCAGCTAGTGCTCACCGTGAGGGGCTGGTGGTCACTGTGAGGGGCTGGTGGTCACTGTGAGGGGCTGGTGGTCACTGTGAGGGGCTGGTGGCCAGCAGGAGCAAGGAATGCGAGAAGCTGCAGGTCCATGAAATAGAAAGTCCACATGGACGGCTGGTGCTCGCTGAGAGGGGCCGGTGGTCATGGTGCGGGGCTGGAGGTAGGTAGTACGAGAGGTGGTTGAACAGAGAGTGCGCTTACAATGAGTCCAGCGGGGGCGAGGAAGGCGAGCAGCTGCAGGTCCATGAAGTAGGACGTCCACATGGGCGGCTGGTGCTCGCTCACACTGGCGATGATGGGGATGTACTTGGAGGCGTACGTGCTGTGTGGGAGGGAGCAGAGGGAGGAGCGCAATGGGAGGCATACAAGGCGTATTGGCAGCTTTCATGAAACATTGGTGCTCGCTCACACTGGCGATGATGGGGATGTACTTGGACGCATATGTGCTGGGGTGTGGAGGTGGGGTGGGGATGGGAAGGGACGGCTTTTTGTCAGGTTTCATGATCCATGGTGCTTGCTCTCACTGCCGACAATAGGGATGTACTTAGACGCGTACGTGGTGAAGGGGAGAGAGAGAGAACGAAATGGGATATGGGAATGCAAGCCAGCAAGCATGCAGGCAGCACTCACGGGTCGAGAAGGCTGAGGGAGCGGCCAGTCCAGCCCAGCGTGGGACTGGCGAGCACCATGGCGACGAGGGCAGATAGCAGCGCCACTGCCGCCACCCTGGGGATTGAAAGGAAGGTAGAGGGGGAGAGAGAGGGAGACGGGACGAAGAGAGAGAGGCAGTGCGGGAGAGAGAGAGAAACAAGTGGGGCTGTAATGCAAGAACAGGGGAAAGGGAATGCAAGAGAGGAGAGAGCAGAGGGAGAGTGCATATAATCCTATGGCTTTGCGTTGTTGTGAAGCGAAGTCGCACAAACACGGAGAATGCAGGACAAGTGTGTGAGCGGGAGAGGGGAAGATTGAATGAGTGAGCATTCACGTATGTGAGTGAGTGAAGTGAGCGAGTGAGGGAGTGTGTGTGAGAGAAACAGTGAAAGGGGGACATACGTGCCGACCGAGACGATGAGGGTGAGAGCAATGCGGAAGGCCTTAGCGGGCAGCAGAGCCTTGATGTAGTAGCTGAGTGCAGCGATGTGCAGCACCACAAACACCTGAAGGTTAAGGGGAGAAGGATGAGGTTGCACGGGGAGAGATGAGGAGAAACTGAAAAAAGGTAGCAGCAGAGCCTTGATGTAGTAGCTGAGTGCAGCGATGTGCAGCACCACAAACACCTGAAGGGGAGAGAGTTGACTTTTGAGTCGACTCAAAAGTCAACTCGCGATGTGCAGCACCACAAACACCTAAAGGGGAGAGAGTTGACTTTTGAGTCGACTCAAAAGTCAACTCGCGATGTGCAGCACCACAAACACCTGAAGGGGAGAGAGTTGACTTTTGAGTCGACTCAAAAGTCAACTCGCGATGTGCAGCACCACAAACACCTGAAGGGGAGAGAGTTGACTTTTGAGTCGACTCAAAAGTCAACTCGCGATGTGCAGCACCACAAACACCTGAAGGGGAGAGAGGGAGGGCAGAGGCAGAACGACATTGGGGGAAGGGGGTTGACAACAGCGTATAGGAACAGCAGCAGCAGTGCCTTGGTGTAGTAGCTGAGAGCAGCAACGGGCAGCACCACAAACACCTGAGGGTCAGAGGAGGACAGCAAAAGATTCCTTAGGTGCCTCGAGAAACATCTGACACTTTGCGAGCGCGAGTGTATGTCTGCAGCAGCAAAACGGCACTTGGGGACAGAAAGTGCTCCCCACAGGGCGTCTACATGCAAGGGCCCAGAAAGCACGAAAACGCCAGCACCACATGCAATGGGGGGGCGTTTTGCACTCACCAGGAACCCTCCGAAGTGTTCAGACGTCATGACTGCGTTGAAGCCCACCACCGGCACCAGCGCTGCCAGCAATGTGCCTAGAATGATCTGTGGAGGAAGACATGGGGGTGGCGTGAATGGTGCACGGACAGAGAACATTCAGAGGGTTGCAGAGGTGCTGATACAGAGCAGCACGTGGATGGACATGGATGAACGCATGGCATCATGCAAGGGGTTGCACCAGGTTCATGCAACAGCTTGCTTACAGGTGGGGCGAGGCATGCTTGCTTACAGGTGGGGCGAGGCATGCTTGCTTACAGGTGGGGCGAGGCATGCTTGCTTACAGGTGGGGCGAGGCATGCTTGCTTACAGGTGGGGCGAGGCATGCTTGCTTACAGGTGGGGCGAGGCATGCTTGCTTACAGGTGGGGCGAGGCATGCTTGCTTACAGGTGGGGCGAGGCATGCTTGCTTACAAGTGGGGCGAGGCATGCTTGCTTACAGGTGGGGCGAGGCATGCTTGCGAGGGAGCGAAAATGGGTTGCTTGCTCACCAGAGGGGCGAACGCAATGTAGAGCCTAGAAGAAAAGCGGCCGGTGACGATGCAGAGCAGCACGTGGATGGGGGTGGATGGAGAGGTTAAAGCCCCAGCTCGCTCACAAAGGGGGGGCGACACAACAGAGAGCTAAGGGATGCTCACCAGAGGGGCAAAGGCGATGTAGAGTCTGGAAGAAAAGCGGCCGGTGACGATGCAGAGCAGCACGTGGATGGGGATGAAAGCACACATGCCCCTCAAGTGCACTCAATTAACCCCCCAGCTCGGTCACATGAGGGGAGAAGCGTGGCCTTATAAAGAGAAAATATGGGTGACTCACCAGAGGGGCGAATGCGATGTAAAGCCGCGAGGAGAAGCGGCCGGTGACGATGCAGAGCAGCACGTGGATGGGGATGAGGTTGATGATGAAGGTGTAGCCGCCCCACGACATCACCATGTAGAAATAGGCCGCCGCGTTGGCCGTGGCGTAGAATAGTGATCCTGTGTTGAGCGTCTGGGGTGGGGTTGGGTGTGGTGATGGAGGGATTTAGGGTAGGAATGAAAGTGTAGCCGCCCCACCACATCACCATGTAAAAGTAGGCCGCTGAGTTGGCTGTGGCGTAAAAGAGAGAACCCGTGTTGAGGGTCTGGGGGAAAGGAAGTGTAGGTGGGTTGGAGAACAGGGTAGGAGAGCAGGGAGTGTAGGGGCGGTGATGAGTGGATGGGGATGGGGTTGATGATAAAGGTGTAGCCGCCCCACGCCATCACCATGTAGAAATAGGCCGCGGGTCCGCTGGATTGGCCATCGCATAAAACAACGACCCCGTGTTGAGCGTCTGAAGAGAAGACGCGAGTGAAGAGTGAAGGGGGTGGGGGCGCAAAAAACGCACAATCACAATCACAATCTTAAACTGGTTCTTACGCCTGCACTCATTCCCATACATTCACTCCCGCACTGACCTTGATGTAGAGGTAGAAGGTGAAGACGAGGGCAAAGATGGCCACCCCCTCGTTGTCATAGCTGCCAGCCCACTCGCCCACTCCCCACCCCCTGATACACACACACAATCACACGCAGACCTCCATCCACCTACACATGCACATGCAACTACACATGCACATACTCAGTCTCACACTCACCTTAATATAGAGGTAGAAGGTGAAGACGAGGGCAAAGATGGCCACCCCCTCGTTGTCGTAGCTGCCAGCCACAGAGCGAGAGATGTACGATGGCACCTGAGACACACAGGTGAGAGAAACAGCACGGCAATTTTGAGTTTGAGAGGCGCCTAACAAAATATGCATGACGCCACATGAAACACACAGGAGACGAAGGGCAGCACGACAGCAGCAACGCCTGCCCAGCCCCTCCGCCTCTAGTCTCCTTGACGAACAGAAGAGTGGACCACTCCATGTCATTACCCGACTTAGCAGTCAGCACCACATGTGCGTCACTCACCATGGTGATGATCGCGGCAGCACTCAGCCCAACCACCGTGCCCTGCACTTCTTTTGCCAGCAGGAACGCGGCAAACGCTACGTGCGCTGAGAACATTCATGCGCTAATGACTTGACTCAGCAGTCAACACCGCATGCACGCCTCTCACCATGGCGATGAGCGCAGCAGCAGTCAGCCCAGCCCCCATGCCCCACACTTCCTTGGCCAAGAGGAAGGTGGCCCACGCTGCATGCACTAAGAACACTCGTGCGTTATGTCGAGTCGGCAGTCAGCATTATGGCAATGAGAGCAGCGGCATTCAGCCCAGCCCCTGTGCCCCGGACCTCCTTGGCCAGCAGGAAAGTGGCCCACACTGCATGCGCTGAGCATGCTAGTGTGCTTGTGAGTTGACTCAGCAGTCAGCACCACATGTGCGTCACTCACCATGGCAATGAGAGCAGCAGCGGTCAGCCCAGCCCCTGTGCCCCGCACTTCCTTGGCCAGCAGGAAGGTGGCCCACGCTGCATGCGCTGAGAACACTGGCGCCGTGAACACACACACCGTCTCCACGGAGAACGGGAAGTTGAGAGCGTTGGCGAGCCTGTATGGGAAGGCGGGACAGCAGGGGGGCAGAGGCGGGAAGGAGGAGCACTGGCGCCATGAAAAACACACACCGTCTCATCTCACACACACGGCGCATTGGCGAGGCTGTATAGAGGGGGAAACAAGGGAGAAAGGGAGAGCTGGAGTCACCGTCCCACCAATGACTCGCCATCATCTTGCCCTTAATTCATCCCACGCCCTCGAATCACCAGTAACTCCACGCTCTTTCACCATCATGCCCTGCACTGCACTCACCGCCACACCGTGCCCGGCGGAGAGAGTGAGACCCAGGTGCACCGTCCCACCAAACACTCCCACATGCCCTCTACTCACCATGCATCCCATGCCCTCTCGCCATCCATCACGCCCTACACTCACCACCACATGGTGCCGGCCGTGAGAGTGAGACCCGGGTAAACCGTTCCACCAATGGCTCCTCATGCCTTCACCTCACCATGCACCCCTCGCCCTCCTCACCTAGCCATGCACCTCACCATCCAGCACGCCGGATGGACTCACCACCACATGGTGCCGGCCGTGAGAGTGAGACCCGGGTACACCGTCCCACCAATGACTCGCCCCAGAGGGTACCTGCCACGGCCCGAGAGGCCAAACGGTTAAGAGGCGGCGAGGACACAAGGGAGGTATTGCAAGCCGAGGACTTGAGACGGGCAGAGTGAAACAGATGGTCCAGCAGTGTGCCAGCAACAGCCATAACGTCTCCCATCACTCGCCATGCCATCTCATCTCCCATCACTCGCCATGCCATCTCCCCCATCACTCGCCATGCCATCTCCCCCATCACTCGCCATGCCATCTCCCCCATCACTCGCCATGCCATCTCCCCCATCACTCGCCAGGCCATCTCATCTCCCATCACTCGCCATGCCATCTCATCTCCCATCACTCGCCATGCCATCTCCCCCATCACTCGCCATGCCATCTCCCCCATCACTCGCCATGCCATCTCATCTCCCATCACTCGCCATGCCATCTCCCCCATCACTCGCCATGCCATCTCCCCCATCACTCGCCATGCCATCTCATCTCCCATCACTCGCCATGCCATCTCCCCCATCACTCGCCATGCCATCTCCCCCATCACTCGCCATGCCATCTCATTCCCCAACACTCACCACGTGCGGTCATCGAACCAGTTCCAAAAGTTGTAAAACCCCTCTTTTGAGAGAAACTGCACCGTGAAACAGGGAGCGGGAGAGGAGGGAAGGATTTTATTAGGCGCACAAGGACTCGCAACGACACATGTTCGAACTTCGTTGCACAAGTCAAGCACAAGCAACGGGACGCGCGTGGGGAGCATAGGGAAAACGCGTAATGGGACGCATCCGGGATGCCACAGCGAGACAGGACGAGCACGAGCGAGCAAAAAGGAGGCCATATGAGGCACCTGGGGGACGGAAATCACCTGGGTGACGGGAATCACCCGGGTGACGGGAATCACCTGAGTGACGGGAATCACCTGAGTGACGGGAATCACCTGGGTGACGGAAATCACCTGGGAGACGGGAATCACCTGGGAGACGGGAATCACCTGGGTGACGGGAATCACCTGGGAGACGGGAATCACCTGGGAGACGGGAATCGCCTGGGAGACGGGAATCACCTGGGAGACGGGAATCACCTGGGAGACGGGAATCACCTGGGTGACGCGGTAGTTGAAGTAAGGGTCGAACTCGTGAATGACGCTCTCGTACTTGATCACCTGCGCATGCCAGCACAAAAAGAGGAGACAAGCGATTTGAGGGGTATGTTGGGTGTTTCAATAGTAATGGCAGCGTGGGGGTCTGGGTCGCAGCCGTGAGTGACGGTCTCGTGAGGGATCACCTGTTATGGACAGACGCGGAGCACCAGAATCCATGACCGCATGGTATTCGGAGCACTCCATATGGTTAATTCGACTGCATGAGGTTACCAATAGTTGGTCTGGCCGTGTGGCTGTGTAAGAGGATAACGGGCATGAAGGACGCGAGTGTAAGTTGAAAGTGAAAACACTCTAATCCTGGATCAAGCGCGTCAAATAAATGGACCACTAGAGATCCAAGACTGGACGGAAAATCGTCGGAAAGTATAACACATCTGTGTGGTCGACGGTACAGCCCCAGGTGTTCTCGGTTATCCGCGTGCGTTGCCGAGAAGCAGAGAGAGGGAACTGAGAGTTGAAGTTTACCAAGGTAACGGATTTCCTGGACACGAGAGATGAAGTTTGTGATCCAGATCTGACGGATTTCTCACGAAACTAAACCGCCTGTGGTTCAAGTGCCTGATCGCTGATCATCAAGAACGCGAAGCGGCCAAGACGGCCCTTTTACATATGGCTCGAGGCAGCAGCTTAGAAGCACCGAAGAAAATCCGAAAAACTCGCACTTTTGCCTTTCGTGCTGCTTTTTGTGATTAGATTCATGAATATGTTTTGAAATGTCACGGAGCTTTAGCAACCTACGCTACGAATATTGTGCTGGGACCTTCTTGACAAGTCGTAAAACTAAAACTCATTCCGACCAGAAATTCTTGGGATGCTCCAACGAGTAGAATTTGAAATCTCACCGAGAAGAGGCGGATCGAGAAAGCCATGACGCAAATCAGGATCAGCGCCAGGCCGCACAGCAAGCCTCCCCATGGACCCTGGCGGCTCGACGCCGCCGCCATTGCCGTTGAGGCGAAACGAGGCAGACTTATCGAGAGTAGCACTGGCAGGTGGCGCGGGGAATGCGGGAAATGCGACTAAGAGGTTGGGCAAGGAAGAAATCAACCCACAGATCCAGTGAAGGCACCCCAACAGCTGACAGGCGAGCATCAGAGATTTGAACATCCTCGAGTTGCACGGATCGCTACAGGATAACACAGATTGGAGCTGCTCTATTAGCTATTGCCTGATATAAAACATGAGCAAGAGCAAGGTTTGGACTCCTACTATTTTGCTAAAGAAATTCCGATATAGAAAATGGAAGCATAAGCAACTGCTTATGTGCGCTAATTTGCGAACAAAGAACATGCCCCATAACCAGTTTTCTTATATGAGATACGGTCTATGCATGGATGTATTACATATGTTACTAGTTTTCATGTATCTGATACGACCTATGCATGGCTTTAATGTATGAAATATGTACGCTGCTGGAGATTTTTTTTTTATTACATTTCTTTTGAGGCGGGGAAAGGGGGGGAGGAGGGGGGCGGAGGAGAGGGGAGGCACTCACAGATGCACACGTATATATACACACGCGCGCATACACTTACGTATATACACGCACACATACGCATACATCACACACACATAAACTTTATTGTCAGAAACTAACGAGCAGGAATGGGAACAGAAGAAGAGGGTTGTGCTAGCAGGCAGGTGTAGTACATATAGGAAACCCTAAAAGGGTTGTACTCTTTGTTGAATACCCCACTACAACCTATACAACACATAACATTCTGACACGCCCCCATAGGCAAAGTGGGGTATAGTCAGCACAACAAGCAACCGCATGACTAGGTCATAATCAAAGGCAAGTGGCAGAACTAGAGGGCAAGTGAGGAGGAGGAGGAAGGGCTATGAGAGGAGAGGAGGTAGGAGGCGGCAGCTGAAGCTGCTGGCTCACGGGCGTCTGGAGCAACTGGCACACAGGCTACTGGAGCAACGACATCCAGACTACTGGAGTAACTATCTCTGCGGCTAGACGAGCGGCTGGAGCAACTGACCCATGGACGACTGGAGCAACGGGCTGACGGGCTATCGGAAAAACAGCAACCGGACTACTGGAGCTGCTGGCTTCAATGCGACTACCTCCTTTCAACCTCCTCCCATTGTCCCACACCCCCTTTTCACACCCCCTTATGCATCCCTAGCGCCACTCCCTCGGCTCCCCCACACCCTTCCCTCCTCAGCGGCAGCTGCAGTAGTGGGAGAGGGAGGAGGAGGAGCAGCAGATTACTGTCAAACATTATATATGTTGTGCTTGTTTAGGCTACAGTGGGTTAGCCTATAGGGGGTACACAATTCTAGGTACGCTGCGCATCAGCTCAACCTCTGGCCCCGTGTCTCCTTGCCGGAGACCTCGCCCAGACTGCTGTGGACGGGGGAGGTTGGCGATGCGTCGCGTTTTCGGGTCTGGGGATCTCGAGCTTTTGTCCGCGATACGTCTGCGGACAAGCTCTCCTCCCGTGCTGTTCCCTGCGTCTTCCTCGGCTTTGTCCCGGACGCGCCTGGTTGGCAGTTTTACCACGCCACCTCGCGCCGGGTCTTGCCCTCTCAAGACGTCACTTTTGAAGAGTCCGCCCCCTACTACCGCCTCTTCCCCTACCGCACTGCCCCGCTCCTCCCCCAGCCTCTCTTCCTCGCGCCAAATGCTGCTGTCGTAGACCCCCTCCCCCCTCAGGGTGCCGCTCCCTCAGGTGTGTCTCAGGTAGACCCGGTTGAGCCTGTTGAGGTCGATGTCGACTCTAGTCCTGCTGGGGTGCGGAGCCTGGGGGTGCGGAGACTGGGGGTGCTGAGCCTGGGGGTGCAGAGCCTGGGGGTGCGGGGCCTGGGGGTGCTGAGCCTTGGGGTGCTGAGCCTGGGGGTGCTGCGCCTGGGGGTACTGAGCCTGGGGGTGCTGAGCCTGGGGGTGCTGAGCCGCAGAGTCCGGAGTCTGGGGGTTCTGAGTCTGGAGGTGCTGAGCCTGGGGGTCCTACACCTGGAGGAGCCCTCTCCTCGGAGCAGCTACGTGAGTGGTACTTACAGTACTGCAGCCTCAGGAGAGGTACCTTTGGAGCCAGGCGTACTACAGGGACTGGTGCTAGTGCTTCTCCTCTTAGTCGAGAGCTCCCCTCCAGTGAGCGGATCCGTGAGTGGTACGAGCGGCGCTGCACGCTTCGGAGTGGCGCGCCTGGTGTCGCGGACCCCACTGCCGTTGGAGCTGCTGCTGGTGCTGAGGACCCGGGCGTTGGAGCTCCTGCTGGTGCTGCGGACCCGGGCGTTGGAGCTACGGCTGGTGCTGAGGACCCGGGCGCTGGTGCTGCTGCTGGTGCTGAGGACCCGGGCGTTGGAGCTGCTGCTGGTGCTGAGGACCCAGGCGTTGGAGCTCCTGCTGGTGCTGCGGACCCGGGCGTTGGAGCTACTGCTGGTGCTGTTGACACTGGCGCTGGTGTTGCTGCTGGTGCTGTGGAGTCGGGCGTTGGAGCTGCTGCTGGTGCTGAGGACCCGGGAGTTGGAGCTGCTGCTGGTGCTGAGGACCCTGGCGCTAATGTCTGTGCTGGTTCTGGAGTCGCTGCACGGCAGCGGCCGTACTTCGTTCCGCTCCTTCAGCAGGTTCTTGGTCAGCTCCCTCCTCATTGTCCTCCTCCCTCCTTAGGGTGTCCTCCGTTTGTCTAGCTGTTGTCGCAGCTACCGTCTGCCTCCTCTCTCCCTGGTCCTGCTCCTTACACTGGTCCGACTGGAGGTCTTACTGAGCGTCGTGAGCCTGAGTCTCGTCCTGCGTCGCCTGAGTCTCGCCGTGCGTCGCCTGTCCGTGCTGCTCTCAAGCTCAGCGTCTTCCTGCTGTCCCAAGCACTCACCGGATGGCGCTTCGTCCTTCCGTTGCTCCACAGCGTGTCCCACTGCTGTCTCCTTCTGCGTCCTCTCTTCCTGCTCTTGCTGACCCGGGGTTAGACTCCCTTCGTGCTGCCAGTCCTACTGTCACGCGTCTCCTGGCAACTGTTGTCACTGACCCTTCCTTTGAGTCCGCTGCTGCGACTGCCTTAGTTGCTGAGCTTGTCGACTTTGCCGCCACCTGTCGTCTTGACCATGCCGCTAGCCTAGTTGCTGAGTCTGAGTCTGTCTGTCCTCCGTACGTCGGGGGTGAGTGTGCCCTTGGCACGGACGTCCTTGAGGAAAGGCAGGAGGAGTTCCAGTGTTTGGCCGCTGCTTCACCTCATCTCGTGTCCGTACTGCTTACCCCTGAGGGAAACCCGGATGCACTTGACATCCCGACTCCGCGCTCTTACGCGGAGGCGATAGAGGGTCCCTACTCTTCTCAGTGGCAGGCAGCTATGGATGCAGAGATGGCTTCCTGGAAGTCCATAGGCACCTACGTTGACGCTGTCCCCCCTCCTGGGGCGAACATCGTCAGCGGCATGTGGATTTTCAGGGTGAAGCGGCCGCCAGGTTCTCCACCTGTCTTCAAGGCGCGTTACGTGGCTCGTGGCTTCAGTCAGCGGCAGGGAGTTGACTACTTTCAGAACTTCTCTCCCACCCCGAAGATGACCACTCTTCGGGTACTGCTGCATGTTGCTGCTCACCGTGACTACGAGCTACACTCTCTTGACTTCAGCACTGCTTTCCTGCAGGGCAGCCTGCACGAGGAGATCTGGCTGCGCCGCCCTCTTGGCTTCACTGGGACTTTTCCTCCTGGCACCCAGTGGAGCCTTCGGCGGCCAGTCTGCGGTCTCCGCCAGGCACCGCGTGAGTGGCACGACACACTGAGGACTACGCTTGTGGCTCTTGGGTTTGCTACCTCTACTGCCGACCCATCGCTGTTTCTACGCACCGACACTTCTCTGCCGCCGTTCTACATCCTCGTGTACGTCGACGACTTGGTCTTTGCCACAGCTGACACTGCTGGACTCGCCTACGTGAAGTCGGAGCTGCAGAAGAGACACACGTGCACAGACCTGGGTGAACTGCGCAGCTACCTTGGCTTGTAGATCACCCGGAACAGAGCACGCCACACCATCACCCTGACTCAGTCACACATGGTGCAGCAGGTCCTTCAGCGCTTCGGCTTCACGTACTCCTCGCCTCAGGCCACTCCTCTGCCTACTCGCCACTCGCTCTCAGCTCTACCTTCGGATGAGTCTGTAGAGTCGAGTGGCCCGTATCCAGAGCTTGTTGGCTGCCTCATGTACCCGATGACCTGCACACGACCTGACCTTGCATAC